CAATATGTTTATCTATAATTCTGATCCATAAATTATTGTCTTTTTTCTCAGGCGGCGGGTTGAGTCTTGTTAATCTTGTGTTGGGAATCTAAACACTAACCCGACTTATTTAATTAAACGTCTCGTGTCGTGTTAACCCATTTACTAAATAAACATGTCGAAAGCCTTGACTAATCCAAATTTTTCGTATCAGGTTTGTGTTACGTGTTGTCGTGTCGTGTCAGCTTTTACCAATTGTACTTTACCTTGATAGAAATTCAAGTTTATTTCCCATGTTGTTTACCATGGGCAAAAGTATATATGTTTTGGTAGACAAAGGGTAAAATCACTACGACCAATAGCGGTACTACTCTAAGCCGCTAAGATTTTACTCATTTTTCCCTCAAATTGCTATTTTGACAATAATAATAGTACATTACAATTTTTTTTTAAATTTTTTTTTTGCTATTTACAACCTTATATTTGTCAAACATTTTGAGCTTACCACAACTTATTGGTTGTCGTCTAAACTCCAAATTTTCGTCCAAGTGAGATTAATTAACTGATTTATTTCTTTTTATTTCCTTTTTTTTCCCTCCATTTCCCACGATTTTTCTCATACTCTTTATTATTTTCTTGAATATGGTTGCTTATTTCAAAAATATTCCAATCACAATCCAATACTAACTTAGGACTTTTATATTATTTGCAATTAATTTGCCATATACTAATTTTAGATTTAATTTGAATAAATTTGAGTATTGAGATAAATCAATGATATAAAAGAATTTGTTTAATTGAAATCGAGGGTTTTAATGTAGAAAAAGAGGGGAAATGAAGCGAGTCTCACTTGAGCAGAAATGGACAGCAATACTCAAAATATTTAGCAAAAACTAAGGTGGTAAATAGCAAAATAAACCTTTATAAGATAGTGTATAGCGTATAAATGTTAATAAAATGTGGTAAATATAAAATATAACAACTGAATAATATAGGCATCTTCTCATACCTCCATTTAATTTATGATAAAAATTATATTTGCATACATATATTTCCATTCCCAAACTTAAAAGGTTTTTTTTTTTTTTTTGTATTATTTTAATTTTTGTTTCAAATATTAAAGAATTAATTATCACATCGTAAGATTATTCATGACATCAGATTTTCCTCGCTAGACAAAAAAATACAAAAATAACAATTTGAGGCATCATTCAGGACATCCACTTATTTAGAAATGAAATGAGCACATGTACTAGTAATAACAAGTCCACAACTATTAAGTACTTGTACACGTCGGATATATACATTATGTGTGGTCGAAGTCTACACCACCCAAGTAATGTATAGGTCCAACAAGATTCAATAAAATGAGTTACAGACAAATAAGACAAAATTTTCAATCAATAAACATAGACTAAAGGCGAATCTTAAATGACACGTGCCATTTTGTGGTAAAAAAAAATTCCTCCTTTTTCTCTTTCCTATTTTTTTTTATTTTTTATTTTTTTACAATTGTTACTAAATCTAAATATATCTCAAAATATCATTTTCTTAGATGATTCCCAATAAAATCTTATTATTTGATAATTAAATCATAATATTTACGCGATATGTCATATTTTATATCAATAAATTTACCTTTTTGTTTAAGGAACAATAAATTTACCTTTTATACCAAAACAAATTCAAAGTACGAAAAAATTCAATAAATAAATAATTTATATATTTATAATCAATGAAAGGAAAATGTATAAACTAATATATATCAATTTATAAAATAAATGCGAGATATACATACTTATATTTCAATTGATTTCATTAAATTTTAATTATGAAAGTCTTTGAATTAAGTAAAAATATCTTAGTATTGTCCTTGCATGCACAAGATCTAAACTAAATCAAAACACATAATTACACGAAGTACAAGCTGCTTTAATTTAATGGATATTGTCAATAAACTTATTCCATGGGTTGAGTCAAGGGCAAGGCAGGTCAATTTAAAATAAAAATGGGGTGGAACGGGTCAAGACTTGTCATTTTTGCCTCAACCCTTTTACCTATTGAAAAAAATACATCCATTTTCTCTATTCTCGGTAGATAAATGGACATGTGACTTTTTAAATTTTTATGTGAGTCGTAGCCAATCATGGAGAGAAACAAAAAATATTTTGAGAAGAATCATTGAAATATTCCTCAAAACCCCTAAATCAAGGTTCATCAAGTCTCATATTTCATCATTTAAAAAAAAATCTCCGATTTCAAAACCACCCAATATAATAGATCGAGAATCGAAAACAAGCCGAATTCTGGTTTGATTGGAGGATGAAAAATGGAGTCATTTGACTTTTGGCATTGTCCTTTTTTATCTCCCCTATTCCACGAAAAAAAAATTCAAAATAAATCTTACATAGAATTGATACAAGCTTTGGTATGTGTAGGGCTGATAATCAGGACGGGTTGGGTTGGATTCATGTTTGAGTCAGCTCTAATCGAGTTGACTATCCCCCTATCCAACCCGGCATGTTTAAGTTTTCAGGTTTAATTTTTTAACCCTAATTTGATTTGTTTAATTTCGGGTCGGATTAAGATTAATCATATTTTAATTTTTTTTTATGAAAAATTATAAATGGGTCAACTTGAACCCATTTGGCTTTTCCTTTCTAGATTGACGTGAATCCATAGAGTAGTGTGGATTTTAAAAGAAAACACATTAACTAAATTGCCACCATTACATAAATAAGGAAAGGAGAAGAAAGAATGAAGTAATGGGTAGTTGGAATGTGATTGAATTTCTAAGGGTCGTTGAGATGAGATTATTTATATAAGGGTGTTGGATGGGTCACATGGGTGTATACGTGTCAAAAGGATGTTAATTAAGTTGCACTTAGTTCGAGTTATTAGATTGGGTTTGATTCAACTTAGCATAATTTAGTATTTCAAGTTACACAGGTCATTTTTGGGTTGAAACTCTAACCTTTAACCTAATCCATTTAATTTTTTAGGTTGAGTTCGTGCTAACCCATTTAATAAATCGGATTAAAAAAACTCAATCCAAACCCACCATTTTCAAGTCGAGATTCGGGTCGTGTTGGTTTTTGCTAGGCCTAAATGTGGAAATGGTATTTTGTGAAAATGAAAGGATAGAAGGAAAATTAATACTTCCTCCGTTCTTTTTTACTTGATTTGTTTCTTTTATCACGCTTGCCAATGCACAACTTTAACGATTAATAACTTTAAATCTACATAAGTAAAAATTATAAAAGTTTTATATTATGATAGTACTTATTAAAATGAATTTAAAAACATCCACATGAATTTATTTTTCCTTACATATAATTCACAAAAGGCGGTCAATGGAGGGGTGGTGAATAGTGTTAAAGTCAAAACGAGTCAAGTAAAAAAGAACGGAGGAAGTACTTTGTAATAGAGATTTACTAGTTAAAACTCGTGCCACGTACGATTATTACTAAAACTTTATTTATTATTAACCTAAAAATAATTCACACTCCCTCCATTCTAATAATATAATTATATATATTTGATAGTAAATTCAATTCATTAATATAAAACTTAGATGTTGCATGGTGCTTCAAAAAATTATAATGAATAAGGTATGTTCTCACATTATTTTCACTTATTTCTTGTTTAATAAGTTCAGTTCAGAAAAAATAAGTTCTGCTAAGAGTTACCTAAGAACAACTAAAATAAATTTTAATAAGTCCTAATAAGTTTAGATAAAATAAAAAAAGTTCAGTTAAGCTCAGATACAATGAAAAAAATAAAAAAAAACAAAAAAATCTAAAAACGTAAGAAATTTTATTTTATTTTTTTTAAAAAAAGGATAATTGAACACACATACTACCTTTAGTTAGTTTTACATTGACTTTAAAAAAATTAAATTTAGATATATAAATAAATAGCATATAATTTATACATATATTATAATAAGGGCATTAAGGTTAATAATGTATGATACTCTCTCCATTTCTATTTAGTAAATACACTTTGATCGGCATATTATTAGACAATAATATGATTGCCTTTTAATTTTAAATCTAGTGAGTAGTAGGGATTTATTTTTATATAAAATTTTATACTTGGTGGATATTTTTATATCAAATGTAATTTTTTTTTCTTTTTTTTTTGACAAAGATTAAATGTAAAAATATTGAAATACTTAAATAAATAATTTTTATGCATTTTTATTAATACTAGGAAAAATACCCACATCACCTATAATTTATACTCGTAATTTCTTTGATTGATTTGTTAAGATTACATATTATGTCATTTTTCAAAAACAAGTGCACTATTAGTAAAGTACTAAAGTTAAAGATAGTTAGTTGCAACTTCGAGACTTCGTGTAATATTAGTGTTTATTTTTATAACGAACTCATCGATAACTTTCAATGTAAATTAATAGGAAAAAAATGAGTCAAATGTCGTGTCTATTTTAATATTATGTATACAGATTAAAATATCAAAAATAAAATTTATTGTGTCTGTTTTAATATTATAGATACATGGTCAATTTGACAATAAAGCATTGAGTTAAATAAATATTTGTATGGCTAATATCGTATGGATATTTATCAATGAATTGATTTATGTACAGTAATAATTTATTTAGTTATTTGAAAAAAATGGTTAACATGTCCTATTAATATTATATGTTTTAGGTTGTCAATGAATAAAGACACAAATCTTTAAATAAACATATGTCAATATAATGTGAAAATCATTGCTATATAAGTTGTCAATGAATAAAGATATAAAAATAATAATAAAGTAAGATTTTTTTATTTTTTTTTTATAAATGATTTTTAGAGGGAGAAAATAGCCCCGTGTTATTTTTTTATGTCTAGTTTAGTATTATGTTATTATATGTTATTGATTTCCAATTTCAAACCGCTATAGAGTTCGTTAAGCCCCATTAGGCCATTAAGAATAATTGGACAATTCTATAAAGACCCCCCATTTAATAATTGGACGGATCTGATCCAGTTATAATTGGGGCGGGTCAGAGCTTTTAATGGGGCTCCAACCCATTGAATTGCTCTAATTGTCAATAAGGGAAAAAAAAAAAACTTGTCTTTCAGTTCTCCATTGAAGCGCACTTCACGTTCTCCATTGAAATACTTGTATCTCCCATTGAAGCAGCTTCTGAGGTAAGTTGTTGTTTCTCTTTTGTAATCATCATATCAATTGCACAATCTAGGTTCATCTTTGATTTGATTTAATCTAATTGTCAGTGCAGTAGGTTTAGGGTTCGAAAATCTGAATTATTGGTTCTAGTTACTAAGATTATGAAAGATCATAACCAGCGATTATGTTGTTAGAAAAGAAAATTATGAGCTTAATTGATAATTGAATCAAATACCCCTAATTATTCGATAATTGAATCAAATTTGGTTGCTATTCTTGCTAATGTATTGCAGAACCTTTAATGTTAGGATTGAACTATGATATTAGACCTCTTCTCCTGGCTCAGGGACGGGCCTGGTCTTTACGATTACGTATAGTCAATTGGCAGACATGATAAAAGAAACGTGACAACTAAAATAAGCGGAGGTAGTATGTGAAAGGAGAGAGTGAGATTTATTTGATCGAATGCGAAAGAGTGTGAAGTTCTAACTTTGCAGTGAAATGAGGGATGTATAAAAATAGTAAAGGGGTCATTAATCTAGGACAGGTGACATAGAAAAGCCTACAAATTAATTTGGAACAAAAGGAGTAATATTATTTGAATTACATAAGCTGTGAGTATTATGATTGCAGTTGTAGTATATTTTTTTTTTTCTCCAAATTTCTTTCTAAGCCCTTAACTAATTTTGGTTTAGGCCTCATCTTCTGTGCATCGATGAAGTGGAACCCCTTTTACTTGGATTTGAATTCATCCTATCTTTGCCTCGAATCTTCCTGTTTTTTTGTTGTTGTGAGGTGTTGTTTCAATGGTTTACAATGTTTAGTTATTTTCTGTTTTTGGTTTTGTAAGTCAGTGGAGTTTGATTGATTTGATGTAATAAGCTAACTAGGTCTTTTGGGTTTCGAAATTAGTGTGTAATGCACCCCTTGTTTAAAGTTAGTTTTGATATTGTGACTGCTATTTTTTTTTATTTTATTTTTTTGGATGTTGGGGTGTGGAGGGAATGAGGTTTTGAGGTGAGGGGAGAACGAGGGGATGATTGTTGTACGCCGTTGGAAGTAGGGGATCATTTAGTTTCTTTTCATCACTCTAATATGTTGCTCCTCAGGCTGTGTTAATTTGTGCTTGTTCATTAAGGGTTAAGGTTCTTTTCATGTAGTAGACATGTTAGCTTTTTGTTTAGAAACTAATTTTAAGCCCATGCAATGCACGTTTTTTTTTTATATATTTATTTATTTATTTATTTTTTTATAATTTTTAACATGCTCCTACTTTTTTATTTTTTGCAATTCAAGTTAATTAGGTTCCAATAATTTATAATCCTTGATTAATTATAATTATTCGATCTTAAATACTTTTATTTGCCATTGCTTTTCTAAGGTGCATAAATGTCAACAGAATTCTAAATATTTCAAATTCTACATGAAAGATCGTGTGTCATCACTTGATGAGGGATTGAAGTACTTTTAAAATTTTGCTTGAGTCAAATTGATAAAACACTATGTTTAATTTTGGGAAGTGGGAACACATACATTGTGTGCAAGAGCGAAGTTGTGATCTCAGTAATTAATTATTTGCTACAGAGTAGTACTTTATTTTTTTGCAACAATCCGAAAAGAAAAATGTGAAGAATATTTGTTTTAAAGTTGTACTTTTACATGTGACAACCAATGTTTGATAGGCACGAAATGAAAATTAGCATTACAATTTGACATAGATAGCAAAAACTTGAAATTGATGTATCAAAAATGCATTACAATATGACAAAGGAAGCAAACTCTTGACCTGATGTATTGTTAACCTGCAACAATTGTGAATTCATTAGGATTAAAAAGACAATAATAACGATTTAGCTAATGGTACTAAAGTTTAACCAATTAAGAAGAAAACATTTGTTTTTGTAACTAAAATTAAGCCAAAAATTTCGATGTGCAATACACCATCCTTGCATAATAATATCAAACCCACAATGTGCAAGAAAATGTTGTAGACGAAAGTAAAATTGTAATAATGGTCAACTTTTTTGAAGAAATTGTTAATAAGGATTTGTTGCCAACCATGCCATAATAATGCTAGGGAAAGTAAAATTAATCCAAAATTCACGATGTGCAATACACCATCCTCTCATAATGATGCTAGTATTGCCCGTGCAATGCACGGGTTAAATTTATTGGTGAATAGTTTATATTAAGGGTTGCTCTATTATTGCTGTATTGTATATTGAGATTGCTCTTAGAATGGATTTAGACCAAAATATGCATGTAAATACGAAGAAGCACAAATTGTTTCATATGGGGTAATAGTATGTTCCCCTTACAGTGCATCTTTCTCATACTCTCTCAACATGAACAATCATTTTCTCTACATGAACCATGATAAGATTGTGCGAATACATTAAGTGATCTTCTAGGGAAATTTATTAGTTGAAACTAAATAAACTAATCACAAGATAAATGTATTAAGAAATTCAATCGTGAAAAACAATGAAACCAAACAAATCAATATCCTTCAATCCAATACATCGTACAAAGTATAATTTAATCAAATTTTAGTTATACAAAAAAAAAGTTAGATGAAAACCAATGATGATTAACAAATCCATGAAATTATCCATATCTTTGGAAATAATTGATTGAAACTTGATAATCTTACTAATAATTAACAATAAATCAACATGCAAGAGAGAAAATTAATTGAAAATTATACGGAGTAATAGACTTGGTCATTTTCTAAAAAGATAAAATATGAAATGCAAGGAAGAAAAATTTAAAATAAATGACAAAAAAAAAATGATATAGAATAATATTTTAGAAGATTATATTAATTGGCCATAAATATCATCATAAATTGCATCAGTTTCTTCCAACATAATTCAAAAAAACCAAAATTTTTAAATCAATAAAATTAAGACTAATTACACAATTAACATATGAATATGCATTCAAAAAATCATCATTACCAAATAAAATATGAAGAAACATACCTTTTCCTCATACTAATCACAGAAATGGCAAAATATTTTTTCTTATTTTATTTCCTTGCATTTCTTTTAAGGAGTCGGTTGGGAATCTTAAACTGAAGTGAAATGATAACTATTGAATGTGTTGTATAGGCTAAAATTTTGACAAAGAAGTTGAATAGAAATAATAGAATTATTGAAGAGGAAGAGGAAGGGAAAGAGAAAGGAGAGAGGAAGAGGCAAATGGGATAGGAAGTTCCAAATTTTTTTTTTCTTTTTTTTTTTTTTTGAAACCTCCGGCAATAGGAAGTTCCAAATTGGAAAATGAGGATTATTGTTTGGAATGGAAATTGGAAATCAATACTATGTAGTACTCCATACTATAAAAAAAATAAAAAATAAAAAATAAAACTGAAAACGAAGTTATGTCTTTTTTAAAAAAAATTAATAATTTTTTTAAAAAAATAAAATCTTAAAGAAAAGGCCACGTGGCACTCTAAAATTCTTGTAAATGTTCCTGTTTTAAAATAGTATATAGATTTTGTTAGGTATTTTTTATGTTTGGGTTTCTCAGTTGGCCGTAGAACCTGTGGGCTTTTGATCTCTCCAGTTTTATCTTGTGCTCTTTTTCAGGTTGTGTTTTTGGTTCTTGTTCATTGGTGATTGAGGTCCTGTTCATGTCGTAGCATGTTAGCTCTTTGTTTAGAGATTGTCTAGTGTTTTTTTTTTTTTTTTTTTTTTTTTTTTTTTTTTTTTTTTTTTTTTTAATACTTTATTTTATGGTTTGGTTTCTTAGTTTGCTCTAGAACCTGTGGGCTTTTGATCTTCTGCGTTTTGTCTTGTGATTTTGCTCGATTATCCTATTACAGTTATGCACATATTTTTTATAATTGGGCTCATAGTAATGTAATGTTCATTTTCTATTTGGCCGTTCAAAGTTCATTGGTGTTGGGAGAATTTGATAGTCTCCTGGGTTGTTGGGAGTTTATGTCGATGACTACACGGAATAATCAAATTTGGTTCATGTTAGCCGACCCCACTTATGGGATTAAGGCTTTGATTGATTGATTGATTGATTGACTGGGTTGTTGGGAGTTCTTTCCTTTTGTGATTCAATGTTTGGTGTTATATGCTGACACAATTTTTTATTTTGCTGCTGTGTCTCATTTCTTGACTGGTTTCTGACTTTTCTTTGCTGCATCTCTTTAATCAATCCCTTTCCTCTTTTTTCTTTCTTTGAAACAGCAACTTTTTAGTTTGTGATAAATTGTGACTCACTGATTTGTGACTTTGGGGACCAGTGACTTATATTCAGCATGGGCTTGTTAGGCTGTGACTTCATTTTGGTGTTGGACTGTTACTAGTAATGCTTTATTGTTTTGTCAAACATGTGACAATGTTTGACTGGTTTGTTGAATTGCCTATTTAGTGTTTTTAAGAATAGGCATTTTCACATTTTCCCAACCCCATGTATGTGCTAGCTAGGTTTGCATTATGATAAGAAGGGTTAGTGTTTCCTTGGGTTCAACTTCATTGACCATAGGAGTTACGTTGAACCTCAAATTGATCCATTACAAGCTGTTATCCTATGATGCACAACTCAGCTGAATTGCTCACTCTTTAATTTATACTTTGTATTGTTTGTTTTGTTAGAATTATGTATCTTCTTATATAGAAATTAACAACATACAAAGGTGGCTGAGCCCAAGCTTGAACTTTTTTTTACTTTACCAAGCTGAGCGCATTCCTGCCACTTTTTTCATTTACAGTCCCCTAGTTACGTCTTAACTATGTTGCTTAGACTCAGATTTGGCTTTGTGTCCGATACGGTATTGGATCCTCCAGCATGCTAGATTTTATAAAATCCTATGTAAGGCCACTATATATATGTGTATTGTGTCGTGTTGAATTGTCAGAGTATCTGACACACGACACTTGATAACCTACATACAACCCAATGTGTAACATATCTTTCTAACATCACCATCTCTTTTTGTAAAATCATTGTTTGATTATCACCAATGTGTTTAATCATTGTTTGATTATTGTAAAGCATCCTAATAGCTGAAAACTCCATCTATTTATGGCTTCAAATGGAATAATGTGTTTGGTTTACCCTTTATCTTTTCTTTGCTATCCAAGTGGAAACAAAGTAACACGAGTCCTGCATCTATCACTTAATGTCTTTTTATGTAGATGTAATATTTTCTTGGGCCTGGAGTGGTGTTGAGTATGAAGTTTAGGGATTATGTGGTTGTGTATATAGCTTAGGACAGTCTGGGAATTTTGTAGGATATCTGGAATTTAAATAAGCCCATTGTTAACCTCGTTTATAGTGCACTTGCTAATTTATCTAATAGCTGCAAGCCTGTAAGAGTTGCATATAATTTTTGCTGCATTCTTGATCGGGATGGGTTTTCTGAACAAATGGTTTCAGGTTGTCTAGTGGTGCTGCCTTAATGGGTGACAGTATTACAGTCAGTCATAACCTGATACTTCAGCTAGTAGATGGTGATGACAAGTCAAAGAAAAAACCTAAGAAAAGTAAGCCAAAGGTACCTAGGGAGTCTCAGCAGTCACAGAAGAAAGTACCCCAGAAGCAGCTTCCTGACGAGCCTAAAGCTCAAAAAGACACTCCTTCCGCTGGTTGGCCTCTTCAACCCCCATTCTTTTTGCCTGTGCCTCCATCCCCAAATCCAGAGCTAGAAGCTGTTCGATCTGTTTTAAAGGAGAGTGAAGCTGTTTTGGAGAAAATGCAGAAACATGAGGAGAACATGCTGAAAGAAGTGACACAGAGATCAAAGGAACTACATGAGAAAGAATTCAAGCTTCCTCAGCAGAAATCTATTGTCTGTCAGTCTGAGAGAGATGCATGCACAGCATGTTACAAAGAACACACTGCAGAATCGCTCAAATGCGCAAGTGTGGTCCAAAGGTATCAAGACTGCGTACGAAGAGCAAAAAACCTTGGAAAATTGCTTGGGTGATTGTTACATTTTTTAGGACATCTGCATCTCAGGTTTGATGTAAATGTAATTTGACAAAATTGTTACCTATCATGCCATAATAAGATGTCAGTTTTGTACTTAATTTTGACTACTTGGGACTCGATTCAACATTTTGCCCCACAGAATCGTCAAAACGTTTACAGTCGGGTCAGCTATAAATGGCTAAACATCGTACTTGCTGGTGTGGATCAAAAAGGGATTTTTTTTTGAGGTTTGCCTTAATGATTTATTTAACACACTAATGTTTGAGTTTTTTGTCCTGTATTTTGTCCACTTTCCTGGCTTGCATGGTTTCAAGATGTCTGAAGGGCTGTGCAGCAAGAGGTTATAACAGTGAATTGGAATGCTGGGAGAGTAGGGGAAATTGTTAAGAGTGCCCGTCTTTGTGGAACTTTTATCGTTTTATGGTCTTGTTTGTTTTATTAGGCTGCATTGTATCTAAATTTCCTGCAACATTGCTACTCAATGTTTTATTGATATGAAAAGGGGAAATATTAATCCCAATAATTTCCATTGTCTTTTCTAATTGATCCAAATTTTTAATTTAAATAATAGGTTATTTTTTCTCAAGCACCACAATGAGGGTTAATACTTTTTCTTGGATCCTTTAATGTTATGGTTAAATGTCCTTTATGGAGATATGAAAAAATTATTTAACTTACTTATAAAACATTCATTTTGAGTATCATTAAAAAAATTTTTGTTTTATTACAAAGGATTTCAAAGGGATCACAAGAAAGTTTTTAGATTTTAGATACTTCGTATCATACTTAATTGTTGTGTGTTGTGTGTGATATCTCTGAGATTACGCGAGAATTTTTAGTGCCTTGTTTGAAAAGTGTTTGCCCGATTGATTACAATCACAAAGTGATACGTCTAATCGAGCATGAGATTTTAGGCAACAACATTTACTCTTGCATGGAGGGTTAAGCGGCTATATGTGGCGGCAATACTAATCCATTCATATTACGCAATACGCATATTGATGCTTTTTGAGGATTATTTTCTTATTTGGTGAAAGCCCAAAGTGGGAGTCATTATACTGTCATTTGCCTCCTCTTCTACTAACAGTCCAACAATCCTTGAGGAAGTCTTAAACAACACCCGATAGACCATTATGTTGTTGCAAATACATACCATTTAAATAACCAACTTTAACTTCTACACTTCAAAATACATGTAACATACTATTAGATGGTCTAATAGTATAATAAAGCCTTCTAATGTTACATTATAATGGTACAAATAAGTATTTAAATGGGACAAATATACGATCTAATAGTACCATTAGAGATGTACAAGGAGAACATACTAGAGTGAAAACAGAGACAAATTGATGACTAACCTTCAATTTTAGTGAATTTTTATTCAAATATAACAAAAATCGATTCAAAAAACTATTATTTTAAATCCTTCAAATAAAAAAAAAAAACTATTATTTTAAATTTATCTAACCAAATACTTGAACTTTTTGCACCAATAAAAAAAGAACAAATATGCGAACAATGCACACCATGTTTTTCCATATATATATATATATATATATATATATATATATATATATATATATATAATATAATATAATATAATAGAGATAATTAGTGTGTTTAAAATAATTAAGCTAAAAAATGTAAAGTGAACAAACACTATTCATATATAATTAAGAAAAAGCTATCTAATAATCTAGAAAAGAAGTTTAATGTGGAGAGAGGATTTATATTCTAGAATGCATGATCTTTTAATTTTATTTTATTTTACACATTTTTTTATTTTATTTTTTAAAAAAAAAAAAAAAAAGCCTTAATCCCAAAAGGATTTGAAGTTGGCTAACATGAACTGTCATTCGAAAACGCCATTTACACAACTTTTAATATAAATTATTTGCCCTTCAAGTCTTGATCTGCCTGTGCTTGCTATTGACTCAGTGCTGAAATGCCCATCCCTCATGATTCGGTCCCCATTTTTCATACTCTTATATTTCTTCAGTCAAGTTAACTGCTTAGCTTCTTGGGTGCTTAAAATTCTTAAAGGGACATTTGACCACAATCAACCGATAGTTCATGTGGATCTTGAGACCATTACTGCTAGAATTTCATGGCCAAACCACATACACTTGAATGTTGGACTGATTGTTCCCTATACAGCTATATGACACTTCATGTCCGGTGCTCGCAACTATTCCAATGAAGAAGAATGACAGCAATTGCTACCCCTTTTAAGCTTCAGTGTTTGCAAAACCAAATTCACACACCAACGCCAGGTGATCGCTGCCCCAATTCTACACCAGAAGCAACAACTGTCAGCAATTTTTTTTTTTGGGGGCAAGGGTTTAACAAGAAACAGAGCAGTAAGCACCTTTAAGTAGACCTTTAATTAGTAATGTCAGCTTTGGTAATGCATCTTTCAAGAATTCAAGCAATAAACTTTGTTTGGATACAAGGAAATGGAAGGAGGAAGTTAATTTCTCTTGTTTGGGTAAAAGGTTGGGGACAGGAGAGGGAGAGATCCATTTTCTACTCTCATAAGAATAATCCCTCCAAAATTGGAGAGATTTGGAGGGAAAAAGGAGCTCATCTTTCCCCTCCCTTCCTCTACCCTCCCCTTCCTCCTCTATTCCTCCCCTTCCTTTCTTTCCTTCTTTGCTATCCAACCAAAGCATTAATCTAATCTTTGATAATATACTTCGTATATCACATTGGGTTTACAAAAAGCAGAAAAAAGGACCAGACAAGCTTAACTAATAAGAATTTTCTAAATCAACAGCATAACAATCAAGTTAACAAACATTTTATCAACTATGGTTAATTACTTGTAGTGATTTGACAAACCTAAAAGGAAGAGCAGAAAAGAAACACAAATCATTGAAGTGTGATTGACCATCAATTTTCCATAGAGGTATTCAATAGTGTCAATCCCCAACCTCAAATTTAATTATTCCTTATACAGAGGTTGGAGTACTTCCTATTCTCGGCAACATACACAACATCCCTACCTTTTAAAAAGTATGAATCAACTCCTATGAACAGTGTCTGGACAATTATATCCTCTAAAATGTTTATTTACTTATTTGCCCTTATTAATATTAATTACCTCCTTTTTGAACACCTATAAATAGTGTGCGGACATTTATACCCCTAAATATTTGTTAACATATTTTCCCTCATTAAAAGCGTCAACAACTAAATTTAAACTGAAAGAGTTCCCCAGACATGGCTAGCAATGGCGCGCATCGCACGCTTTAACCACCCTAGTTGTTGTAAAATTTTAACAAATGACTTAAAGTTCAACCGCTTCACTGTGATTTTTCTCTGATAAATTACAATCTTATATAGGTTCTTAAAATGTATCGTAGATCCTCTACTCTATTTCCCTATCAACAATCGTACTGATCCTACTATTTAACTTCTAGCTAGCAAAACATATTTTAGAATTAAAATACTTCTAATATAATAAGCATCAATAAACCAACTTTTATGCTTTTACTTTCATAGATATATCTTATGCATCCGATTGAATAGCAATCTCTCTAGGTGTACTGGCCAACCCAAAGCACTATCACGAAAACAGCAAAGCATGGCATGGGCATGGTGAATGCATTGCACAGCATGTTACTGTGCATGCTAGGCCGTTGCTGGGCCTGGGATGCCTTTATTTGAAAGAAGCACAACAAGACACAGCACTAAAAAGCACGCTAAAGTCAGCGAAATTTTGTTTAGTTACACAAGCATGGCACTGTGGCACATGGGCTGACCTTTTGAAAATTTTGACACGGCATGTAGCTGTGGGCTGGGCTTAGCTAACTGCAAAGCAGATGGGCTCAGCATGACCCACAATCATTTCTAGGTACATATTAGCAGGGAAGTTAAGCTAAGCCTTTTAAGGATTTCCATTGCGAAAAAGCATAAGAGGGAATCCAAGCCTCAACTGCTAGCAATTATAGCAACGGGGCCAGTAATTATGAGTTAGACTATCCTCATCAGTCATCACATCTTTAAGTTCAGCTACCCAAAGTCCCAAATTTCTCTCAAACTAGCTGTTCTGGGTAGAGAACAATCTATTCAAGAATGTTCAATTGGAAAGTGACCTGTCCTCTGCACCAATTCCTCAAGCTCAACAAATATAATCCTCACAACACCCTACTCCAAAATCTGCAGTTCTAGGCACAATAAACACAGAGTGCTGGGTTTAACTAGAAATTTTCAGATAGCAAGTGACCTATCTGCTATTGCAACAACAAGAGGAGCACAAGGGGCATATTACCTATATAATCAGCAGGCATCTGAAAGAGTAAGCCTTTCCTCTGTTGCTCTGGTTAGAATAGCTGGAAAACAATACATACAGCTTCAAATTAAAGAAACTGAAATGGAAACAGAGAAAGGGAGGAACAGATCCTATATGTGGTGGGTGTATAACCATAAAGTTTCTAATAAAAGCTACTCCCTCTGTCTTTTTTTTTTTTTTTTTTCCTTTCCATTTTTAGCGTTTCCTTTCTATGGTTATGTTTCTACTTCCAACAATAATTTACACACTTACCCTCATATTTACCTACTTCCAATGCAACTATTCTCATTTACCAAAAAATTTACATAATCCCAAAGCAACCATTCCTATATACCAAAAAATTTACCTACTCCTAAAGCAAAAATTTCTGTTTACGAAAATATTTAGCTACTCTCAAAATAAATATTCCCACTTTACCTACTCCCAAAATATTTTTTTTAATACCCGGGTAAAATCTTAAACTTAGTTTTAGAAAAGAGAAAGAGGGAACACATTATTAAGAGTGTAAAATTTTGCTGCTAAGCATTGATTTATTCTAACATGAGGATTATTTCATAGCTTGATCTTAATCTGCAGTTGATAAAGATCCAACTCATAATCCCTTGCCCCATGATTAAAAAACCCTCAGTCACCAAACCATGCTATTACACATGGTCCCAATTTCTAAATTTGCACCTTCTACAGCATTGAAAGCTCATAACAAACCTGCTAAACATGATGAAGGCAATTAAACTATGGGCTGTGAGCCTGTGACTGCCGTGAAAACTGAAAGGCAAGAAAACAAATAAATCTGGCAAAATGATCCTTCGGATCAAGGTATTCAGAGCGTGTTCTGCTGTTCTCTTTACCAGAAATAAGGTGTTCCGAATGATTTTAACTGATATGGTCTACAAAATTCTGGTCTGGTACCCTTTTTTATAAATATTTTTTTTTGTTGGTCTGTGCAATGAACAGGGTCGAACCACAACCTCATGCTATTCAGGTCTATGAGAGAAGGAAGAGACAGCAGGGCAACATTGGGGGACAAGGTCAGTAGCAGGGCAGCAAAGAGTATCAACAAAGAGAATGAGGCCAAAAGTTATTAATGAAGCACTTTGGAGAGTGGGAGCTGAGGTTCTGTTTTCTGAAAGCCACAATGGCATAACAAGACAGACTCTTTATTATTAGGGTACTTGCATATGGATGAATGCTTGGTGTAAATAGAAGTAGCAATGAAACAGTAGTTTTCATGTGATTTGTGAGATTCATTTGTAGTGTAAAAGTAGTCTAAATTTCCCTAGAAAGAGTTATAGCCTTAAGCTATATTCCTTGTAACCGTTACTTTCAAATATCAATCAATCAAATATCCAAGCTTTCATCCACTTACATCCTTATTTCTTGAGTATTAATCTCTGAATTCCTAGTCTATAGCAGTCCGAAGGGCCCTATTGAGCTGAAAACTCTCACAAGACAACCTGGCCCAGGTTTGCAGGCTAGAACCTTTAGAGGTGGGGGGGAACGGTAAGGGGATTCCACCCCAAATTGCTTCTTGGTGGGTTTGATCCCAAAACCTCATAGTTGTGAGATGCAAATTTTCCCACTAGACCAAGCATTGCTTGGAATTTTAGCCTGAAACTAATCTGACTAAACTTTGATCACATTTTACACTAATAAATTATAATACACAATAAAAGGTATTTTTTTTAATAAGTAAACGGAAATTAAAAAAGAAACTTTGACCATAATTTAACACTAGAATATAAAATACAGTGGCACACAATTAAAGATGATTGATAACAAGAATAATCAAAAAATAAATAAATCTAGTCTAATTTGATCTGGTGTGCTTCCGACAAGAATAAATAATAAGTTTCTAAGTTGAAGAGAACTAGTTCTCAATTTAAATTATATGCTAACGATGACAAATTTTGTGGATGTATGGTCAATCAGGTAGGCATATTTTTCCATAGTCAAGTTTGTAAACTTTTCTCTTGCAAATACACGTGGTTCGAATAAAAGGAGGAAAAGTATGGGATATGTGATGCAGTTATTCAAAAGGAATGATCCTAAATGGTAAAAAGTAATGTTATGACCAATATCATAGTGTATATTCAAAACCACAGATTAGAAAATGACAATTCCAAAATTCTTTGCAGAATGACACTTATGTCGAAACGGCAGAGAAAGATACCCATCAAGAGCTATAGATCTAACCAAAAGAGCTCGGAGCTGATGCATATACCACATTAGTTAAGCTCTTGATGTTGTTAAAACTAGGTTCCAGTGCAATATCATGTGCCAACTGAAAAGTAACAATTGTGTGCGTGTTTTTTTTTTTAAAGATCTACGTGCAGAGGTTAAATACCGAGACGTAGGTCTATCAAAAGGAACTTGGGGCTGATGCATATTAGTGACCAAATTTTTTTGTAACAACTCTCAGAGCTGGATAGCATAAGATTCACCATTCCTTATTTAGCCAGCTACAGGATGCATTGATAAGTTATTTCAATTCTGAGTTTCAAATCAGTAAAGGGAAAAAATATCTATCTAGAACTAATACTAAATTAACAGCCGCTGATGTCAATTTTTCCCAAAGTACACATGGCGCTACCTCATAAAAAGATTTCCCGCTCAAATGCTAAGCCCATTCAACCTATTTGGGAAAAATGAAATTCAAAGGCTGAGTGAGTTACTTTTCTTTTCCCTAAGTTTTTTTTTTTTTTTTTTTTTTTTTTTGAAGAAAGAAAGAAAGTTTTTTTTGAAGAAAGTCCCTAGACAAGAATTAATTACACTTTTTTTCAATTTCAAAATTGTGGTCTATGATAATGCTCTTTTAGCTAAAAAAAAACTGAATGTTACCCATATTTTCGTTTGAAATTGGGATGAACTGAGTCTAAATGTGGACTACGTGTACTCCCCTAATAAATACCCTTTGTATTCTTAATAATTTCATTGGTCTTTTACTTGACTGTTAATTTTGAAAATATATTCTTCCTTCCTCTCTCTTAAACTCATACTCTCCTAAGGTTACACGGCGGATTCCTCATCGATGATGGTGGAGGCTGCAGTCATTTTTTTTTTTTTTAATCAGTTATTTTCGCTATTTTTGGGCAGATTTAACATCAATGAGATGAATTCTATAAACGTTTGATTAATTCCTTGATTTATTTTTGGGTAGATTCCACATTGATGACGGTAAGTTTTCTCCTATTTTTAGATACAATACTTAATGACAATTGGCCAATAATGATATTGCCATTTTAAAACTAGAATATCCTAATCAATGGACCTTTTCAAAGCTCTAATACTACGCATGTTTTTAAAGTTTCATCTTTTATTGAAATTTAAACAATATATATAATTTTTCTCAGAAATTTGCATGTTTAATAGAGGATTGTTTACTGGTGGATCAAGGTGGAAGGAGAATCACGATGGAGTTAGAGAATTATAGGAGTTGTTTTTACTTTTTTTTTTCATTTATCTATTTCAACTATTTGTAAATCTCTCGCCAATATTTTGGGGAGACTTGAATAATACAGAATAGTTTAATACCAAGTACGAGAAAATTTGATATGATGGGGTACTTTAAATTTGATGCTTCTCGAAGCAAGGTTGGTTTAATTATCTCTAATTTAAAATTATAGTTAGTAGAACTGTTGTTGACAACTGAGGTTCTTCATTTGGGATGTAACTAGCTATGTAATGAATCACAATGTTTGCAATTTTAATTTGTTTGTGTACTGTAATTCTCTTATGATGTAATAAATGCTACGGAGTAAGTACTATGTAGCATTGTACTACCAATTAGCGAAGGTTAGTTACTTAGTTATTGTTGAATTGTCTATACATAAAACCATCGCACTTCCAATGTACATATACAACTCAATACAAGTATCACAAAGAAGATGAAACAAATACATTAATTAATCCTTCTCTTTTAATTTAATGAGTTTAAGATTTATCTTCTCTTAATTATCTATGAATTTATAAGGGTTTTTTTTTTTTTCCTCTCTTTTTTCTTTTGGGAGTAGTTGCCTATCTCTTAATATATGCTAAAGATGCTACAATCCATTGTTAAAACTGTGCATCGCACGGCTAGTTTTCATGATCTATATGATCAACCTAGTCATGATCTATATGCGAATATATAGCCGTTGACAAAGGCACAGTATTGATAGCATAATTCAAGAGTACTTAAAATAGACCTGTGTGAATCTAATACAAAACATATTATTTTGATCAAGCAATCCTTTATAAAGCAGGAAATAAGACTATTATCAGCCACAAGAGAGGGAATATGAAATTTCATAAACACAAGAACAGCTTTTAGGCTATAATTGAAGTACCTTACTGGGAAGCCCACCCAACTTTTCCAATGCATTTATAGGCAGTGTTTCAAGGACTCTGACAGGAACAAGTTGGTCACTGTGCCTGCAGGAAGTAACAAATAGATATCAGTAGCTCTTTAAGTTCAAATCCATAATGAGTTAATCATTCAGATTTTCTTACCATATGTAATCAACAGTTCCCATGAAATTACAATGGAATGATGTTGCCAAAGGTTCTCCAATATCATCTCTTGTTGTGACACTCCCCTAGCCAAATCATTTACCAAATATCAGGCAAAACAATGAAATCCAAGATTGATATGTCTAAACAACAGACCATAGCAATGTGAAAAATCTTTGGGATCTAAGATCGTCTTACAGGAACACCATGATATGCACTGTGGAGTTTTAGGCTATGCTGCAGACAAGTGACTTCCTCACTTCCAGAAGCAATTTTTAATTCTTCGTCAGTCCATCTACATATCGATGGCTTTTGCCTTCCATTCCTAATCAGAAGCAAAGGGTTTTGGTTATATTTAAGAGCCTACTTCCAGCAGTTGTATTTATCACAAAGTCTACTTTGATATCTTATACACTTTTAAATATCAAAAAACGGTGTCATTTGGCCTCTGCTGCCAGAATATTAATACTATTGAGAAAAAAAAAAAAATCAAATCAAATTCGAAATGTAAAGTAGATGATGCATCTTATACTTTGGTGAACCATGCACAGCATTAAGAGGTTTGTGGCCATAGAGTATATATATGTAGTTGTAAGGTAGATACAAAGGAGATGGAAGGATAGTTATTTACTTAAGGCCATCACTTAAATTTCCAACGATAAAATTCCCACCAAAAATTAAGATTAAAATCCTGCCAAAGCATCACCATCATCATCATCAACATCAAAATAAGAGAGAGAGAGAGAGAGAGAGAGAGAGAGAGCCACCAGCGACGTGCAAAAATAATCAGGTCTCAACTGTGATCCAAAAACATGTTAATATGAAACATAGTCTGAATTTTAAAAGGTAATCCCGAAATCAAGAGCAATAATTATCACTCCCTCTATTTCTTTTTGTTAGCTTTTCTATATTTTTTTTTTTTTTTTGTTATAAGGTGATCAATTTGATACAAACTTTAATTCATAATACGGGTGACAAAAGAATAAACTTTCACTGAATACTCCAATGCCAGCTATTTTAACAATTTTACGCCTTATGTATTTTCTTCCATACTACACTTTATTAAAAAAACGATTAAAACTTTGTCATATTGGCCTTTTTCCACCATAAAAACAGAAAAATCCAATTGTAAAATCAGGTTCTTGACTTCAGTGAGAATTTTTTATTTCTGGTTGTCAGTTGTCACATTAGGTGCTAATGATGTATAGCATAAAGACTTATAAAAAGAATTTAACATAAAATATAAGTATTTATTACCGTAACACACATAAAAAACTTGATTCAAAGAGCACCTCCCTCCCCCCCCCCCCCCCAAAACCCCCTCTTCTTTAGGTCACACAATTAGATCTCAGTAGCATAATTGTACTAATGCTTTTCTTACTTAAATCATCTCCTTAAAGATTTTCTTTATTGAAATATCAAAACTATGAAATAGTCATGTGAGATATGCATAGTTTTAAAGGAGAAAAATAAGAAAACAGTAAATCTCCAGGAATTCTAACACTCAATTACATTCCAACTCTAGTCCTCCCAAGAAACCAAAACTATTTATTCTCAAATCTAACTCATCACTCCAAAGGAAATAATGAGAATCCATCAACCATTCACATCCAATTCAATTAAACATTTCTTAAATGACTTGCAAGAGTTGCAACTCCACTTTCCCTTATTTTTCATAATCCCCAAATCAAAATATCATCAGTGTGTGTTCAAGGCAATCTTGTACATAACATAAGATAGAAAGATTTTTTCAAATAAAACCAACAAAGTACTTCCACAAACAATGATACTTGATTCAAAGAGTGCATCATTGAGTAAAAGTCTTGCAGACAATCACTAGGATAAAATATGCAAGTCAAAAACCTTCAAAATGCGAAGAATAGATAATAGATTTATCCATATGGAAAAGGTGAGGGCAGAAGGGGGAATGGAGGACAGCAGGCTGCATGCGCTATTAACAACCAATGAAGACAATATGAATTTGAGGATATACCTGAATGGCCCCTTAGTTGAAAAAGCGTGACACAGTGGCATCTGAATCTGCCCAGATACACGTTTTCGGTCGTGCTGTAAAATATCCAACTGCAAACAAGATGTACATGTATAAGAATATAAACAATTAAGGACAGCTTATCATGAAAGACTATTTGCTTACCTTTGCAGAGGATATATATTGATATGCAGCACTCTGTAAGCACAAATACTTTTATCAAACAAATAATTGTGAAATTCAGCCAACTTTTGGAACTGTAACTGCAGGAATACCTGAGGAACACTATTAAAATCACCACCAAGTACAACAGGGATCCCACCCCATTCTTCAGATAATCTGTGGGCCCTATCCAGAAACAGACGTATCTGTCAAAGTTGTTTTGAAGGGTATGTCAATTGTGTCTATAGACAGAATAGAAACAAATTTGACAAAGCCTGAAGTAACTATATCATTCATAATTTATATAATGCAATACCTGTCCCAGCTGGATGTCCCCTCGATTTGGGTTAAAAAGAACGTGTATATTTCCAACAACCAGACTTCTACATGTATCAACATGGTAGATACATTATTTTTTTTGCTTAAAGACTCGTATAACTTTAAAATGTATAAAGTATCTATAATTGCGCTGACATAAAATAAGGGGAAAAAGAAAGTGTCCGTGTGACAGCATAAAGGTATGAATGTACGTACAAAGTTACAAACTACTCCTAAATTCATCTTTATGCCAACCTATGAGGGTCCTTCTTAAAATCAAGAATTGTGATGGAGAAGTCCACAATTGATGACTGGATCATCTTTATGCCAACCTATGAGGGTCCTTCTTAAAATCAAGAATTGTGATGGAGAAGTCCACAATTGATGACTGGAATACAAACATTATGCTCAAATTGCTTACATGATGTATTATTGACATATTTAAGAAAAAAAAATTACAATTCAGCAATGAGGACTACCTCTGTTTTATCTGCAATTGTCATTCAAGTGATTGACACAAGAATTAAGAGGCAAATCTTCTCCCATAAAGTAGATTTTTTAAGGGAGAGACAGGCACAAAGAAGAAAGAGGGCAGTAGTATAAGAGGATATCTATGAGGGATAAACAGAGGAAAGTCAACCCCACGGTTGGGAGGAAAGGGAGCTGCTTGAGTGTTTCCCAACGCTTCAAAATTTCACTTTCCCGTAAATTTAAATTGAAAAAATCCAAATCCAAAATCAGTGATTCTAAATCTATGTTCGACTAGTGCATAATCAAGCTAACACTATAGCCTGTAGTAGACATTAATTATCACCACATGTATAGTTGGTGTAATTTGAAGATACAATTTTTACTGAAACTAATTGGCATAAACAAATATGTTGTAGGCCTTGTAGCTAATACAAAACCACTTCTAAAATTTACATGCTATCACAACATTTTCCTTTTCCAGTGTAACGTCGCTCTCATTCCAAAACCAATATCCGTACTTCTCCCCACTCTCAGGCCAAAGAATCCAGAAAAGGATCCATAAAGGTAACTAATTGCTTCGACTAACATACTTTTCCTGACATAAGAGGAGTAATTTTATATTCTGACATTATATTTTAACTGCATAAAATTCTGGAACTCAGTCGAAAAGTCATGACCTCACATGATGCCAACCACCTAATGTCCTAAACCCATAAATCTTGAGAGAATATACACCACTTGATACATACAGGACTTACATTGACTTTGACATCTTTGGTTCAGGATTAAATGAGTCAGCATTCATCTGTGACAAAAGAGCAAAAGTCAATTAATTGGACTATAGTTTCATCCACCACAAAAATGATGAAAATTGCTGTCAGCTAAAAGTTCAGAACGACAGGAAGAAACAAAGACATAAATATAATAACAAAAGATCATCCCTCCCCCACCCCCCCCCCCCCAAAAAAAAAAAAATACACATCTTTCCTCCAATTGAAGCACACGATATTGATCAAAAAGGTGAAAAGGGAAAAGGAACGAATGATAGTAGCAACTTACAATTTTAGCTGAATTTGTCAGCAAGTAAAAATAATTATAAAATTTAAAATTTAAAAAAAAAAAAAAAAAAAAAAAAAAAAAAAAAAAAAACTTTAAAATTATATATTGAGACGAATTTAATAAGATCACACATAACAATTTTGTTCTTTAGAGCATAAATCACCAAAAATGGCAAAAGTAGAGTATGTGAATACTATAATAATCGAAGTGTTTCACCTAGAAGAAATGAAGAACTAATTTCTAAAATTTTATCTTGTTAAATTTGAAATGAGGTGTTTTAGATATAATGACAATTTTAATTTTAAAATTTACTGATTATACTAAATCATGGTTTTAATAGTGGCTCATAAAGGCTAACATGGAAAATTTAATAGTCAATACTCCATAATGGATGCAAGTACTACTTTAAGACAGATACTATAAAACCAATTTCTGTTGAACAGCACATTTTTTACAAAATGGTCATTATTAAATAAAATAGCTTGATTGAGTTTATTCAGTTTCATCCCCCCATTTTCTACACCCCTAAGACTTAAAAAAGCTATATGTTAATTCCCACAGAACTTATGTGAGGAAGAGACTCAAAGTTGATGGCTTCTCCACACAATCCTTTTTCGTGAATGGGTGCAGTTACTTGTAAAGGTAAAAGAAACTAATGATAAGCACACCTTCAATCCAAAAACATCCGTCCTTGTTAAAAAGCAAATGGCCTTACAAAAAAAGCACCGGCTCATTATCAATCTAAGAAACACAAGTACTTCTTATGTTTCAAAATACTTGCAACCAAAGGACTTGGCACACAGATTGAGGCATAGGAGAGAGAATGGTAAACAGACAATTTACAAAAGTGATTACCCACTAACTCACCCCTACCTTTCTTCTTTTTCCCACTGCCAGACGCCGTCCCCTCTCTGGTGACCTTGACTACCAAGCCCCAATCATCCCTGCTACTCTGAGAGCCTATGGGGACCACCACCATCTGCCAATTACCACCAACAAATCACCAACCATAATCTACCCTGCCAAACTCACCAAAGCAAGCCAACCACTAGCCAGTGGCCACCACCTAAAAAAGCAACCCCAATACCTAGAGAGAGAGAGAGAGAGAGCCCACCACAACCAAAACCCACCACCAAAAAATCCCACAGCCCTAACCAAATTAATTAAACCAAGTAAACAAAGGTCCCTAACAATTCCAGAAAAGTCAACTGTTTTAAAATAGCACACATAAAGTTCATCAGAAAGTTCAACCGAGCAGATTTTATTTTTAGTGAGAAAATATTGCATCTTCAGTAAAAGAGGAAGAAAAAGATGTAGAAGGGGAACCGAAACACTGTATTAGAAAGAAACAACAAGGAGAATTATATCCTTGAATACTTCAAAAGAAGAAGCCAAAGAAGAAGAGGAAAGGGAAAGGAAAAATGAAGTGATGTCCAGGAGCTCGGGAGGAGAAAGAGGAAGTGCCACCAGGAAGTTGTGTTGGCTAATAGATGAGGATGAAAGGGGATTATGGAAGAGTCAAAGAAGACCTATAAGATGGTACAAGGAGGAGAAAGCATTATTGGTGGGTAGCAATGTCATATTTAGTTGATATAGTAAGGGAAACATTGTAGTTGTGTGTAATGAAACAAACCTAATGTGTGATTGGTTGCATATATTCTGTGATTTCCAGTTAAGAGATGCGGTGCAAGTTAACTTGAAACAGATGAGTGATACCATAATGTATGATAGACTCGACACTCAAACAAATGTAAATAACCATATACAAGAGAAAGAACAAGAATTTCAGCTAGCAAAAGACAGTGGATTGATTGAATGTTAGTAACTTTGGGTTAAAACTCTCCTAGGGAGTAACTTGAGGTTACAACTCTCAAAATACACAAGTATAATCACAGGATTTCCTACTTCCACACATTACTTAATATATACAAAGGCAAAGACTGCAAAAAGGTTAACTGACAATAATTAATCTTATCTCATTCTCTATTATATTACTACTCCATGTCTCCACTATTTGTTATTGCTATTTGCTCCTCTTCGAAACATTAATTTGGTTTGTCTTTTTGCGCCAACTGTGTTTCCTCCTCCAGTGATGTGGCTGCTTGCTCAGCCTGTTTGCCTTTCTTTCCCATTCTCTAATATTGGAAGCATATCGGTGGCTTGGGTGGCCCATCTACCGAGTCCATTACATATTACAGAGGGAATTCCAATCCCCTTGATAACACCATCTCATCATCAATGACATTCGATGGCCTATCCAACAACGTCAAATCATCTCTATCAGCCATGTCTCTCATTCTAACTCTCTGTTCCCCTGTTTTGCTCTAGTTCTCTCAGTCACCAGTCAATATTTATGTGCTCTGTATATTATACGTAGTCCTCTGAGTAGGGATGGCAATTCATTCCGAGTTCGATTCGAATTCAATCCGATCCAAAGGAAAAAAAATCCGATTTGAATCCGTTAAAATATAGTCCGAATCTGAATCCGAGGAAATAGGTCCAAATCCGAATAGGAGGCAGATCGGACTTGTACCTGTGCAAAATCCGACCGAGTCTGACCGGAGTCCGAGTCCAAGTCCGAGTCAGACCCGAGTTATGTAACTTAATTCATAAGCTATATATGTTATGTTTAGACTTTATACTCAATGTTTATTCTAATTTTACGCACCAATATGGTATAAAAAATGAAGTTTATTAAGGGCAATACAAGCAATTATAGGTATAGCACAAAAAAAAAAAAAAAAAAAAAAAAAAAAAAAAAAAAAGAAAAGTATTCAGATCCATTCCGATGTCCAAAGAAACGGACCAGATTTGGATCCTAAAATTACGAGTCGGATCGGACTCGGATTCGGATCTGAGTCCAAGGTCCGTTTACTAAACGAATTTGATTCGGATTTAGTCACATCCAACCTAAATCTGATCCGTTGCCATTCCTACCTCTGAGTCCTAGATAATTCTAAATAAGCATAAGACCTATAATTTTGGATAGTGTACAAATCTACGCACATATTAGGCAAGTATTGATAGCTAAACCAAATAACATGAAGCAAAGGTAGTTTTTATCCCATATAATGAGATATAAACAGCTCTTTACCAAGCATAAGCTACATACAGATTCTCGATCTAAGTCTTATCTTAAAAAATAAAATAAAATATATATATATATATATATATATATATATATATATATATATATATATATATATATATATATATATCAGGAAAAAAACTACTAGTATATGATTTGAAAAGTTAAAAACATGTAACATTCATAGTTTTAGCTACAGTATGAACATACTGTGTTCATCATGGGATCAACTGATTAACATACCTTCAGGACACAGAATTGTGCAACATTGTTACGCAAACCAAAGCTCTGAAATTCAATGCTTTCCTCATGCAGAAGATTAAACCTGTGCCCAAAGCATAGAATAACATCAGTCAGACAAAAGAATCAGTAAACACAGAAAAAAAAAAAAAAAAAAAAAAAAGGTAGCAACCATCATCATAATAAGTTCGTTCTTAGGGAATTAGAGTTGCACTCATAATGACTCATCAGAAGTGAAGCTAACCGTGTACAGTCACCATCTGGAATCTTTATATAACAGATATGGGAATAAAGAACAGAACTCCAAGAGTGAAAGAGTAATTATATAATAATCTCCATACAGCTTTCCCCAGAAAACTAAAAGGACGCAAAAGACAAACTCAGCTTCTTGGAGAATTTTCCTAAAGGCCGTCACTCCTCAGGCATTACTAAGGAACACCTTTTTCCATTATAACTCAAAGATTTAAGCTATGAATTTTGGAAGCTGAAAACAATACAAGAAGGGGATACACAGACAAAAAGGTCATCAAAAGACATAAAGGAAAAGGCATGCTACCAATACTGTAAATATATCAGAGTTTCACAAAACATATAACACCCCAGCTGTAAGAAAAGAAAAAAAGAAGCAAGAGAAGCAATAACAACCACAATAGAACTTTCTAGTTTGCTAATAAAGAGCAGTTTCCAAGAAAAATTAAGCATTGCTTCCAACCAGAGTGCCCAAGGATGGCAGCATGCCTAATTGCTTGTATCCAAAGAAACTTCTTCCCCTTGTTTCTACAACAACTAATGCATCACTTCAAAAAATTCATCACCATAGACTTCCAAACTCTGTCCACAAAATCCCAAACAGCCATTTCAAGAGGTAGATAATATTTCTATGTCTAAAAATTGAAGATTCTCCACACCACCCCACTCCCAGGCATATTAGATATACAACTGGGGAATAGGTATACAGAAGGCTCCTTCAAACTTGAAATTTTCACAAAAGAACATTGTTGTCTCTAATACTCTCCGATTTGTAATCGCAACACTTTCCTTTTACATCCGTTTCATAATAATTGCAATACTTCCTTATTTGGTAAGGGCCCACTATTATTTTATTATTTCTCTCCTACTAACCCCACTTTCACAAATATTTTAACATTTCTCTCTCCTACCAACCCTACTAAGGGGCGGAGAGGACATGGTAGGACACGTGGCCTACCAAGTTTTTTTTTTTTTTTTTTTTTGTATTTTTAAAATTTATTTTTAAGTTTAATGTTAATTATTATTATTATCTAAAACAAAAAAAAAAAAAAAAAATAAAAAAATAAAAAACTAACAAGATCTGCACGCAATTAAGTACTCTAATTTGCTAGCGGGTCTAGTATTTTCAACTTAGTTCATATACTTAATACTTTAGGTGCATGCGTGGATTGTATTGTGATTAATCTTATGCCTTTTGATATACATAAGATAGTCCCTTTTTCCCTTTTTAATTGCTAATCCTATGTAATTTTTTAATCATGCTAGTTGTGAATGAGCTTCCTAGATTGTGAAAATATAAAATAATAATGGTAATGTTGATGACTATAAATTTCCCGTCATATTGAAATGTTATTTGTCAATTTTGCGCCCCACTTTTAGTTCTTTTTAATAGTGGTTAGTTGGTTCATATTTTTGCTAATACTCCCTCCGTCCCATAATACTTGACACAGTTACTATTTTTGTCCGTCTCAAAATACTTGACACGTTACTAAATATGGAATGGGACCACTAATAAAAAAATATTTACCTATACTCTCTTTAGGACCACAAACCCCAAAACCCAATTAAATCCTACATTTTCTCTCTCCTCACTACCCCCACCTCTCCCCACTTTTTGTTTTCTTACAATATAAAAATACAAAAGAGAATCATTATATAATAAACAAATGTTTTAAATGGACCCACTTGTAGTTTTCTTAAACTACGTGTCCACCCCAACATCCCAAGTATTAAGGGACAGAGGGAGTAATTATTTTATTAATAAAATTTCTTTCGTAGCAGTAGTCTATGTTAATTGGCCATTGATAGGGTCATAAAAGTATATTATTTTATTTCATTAAACTCTCATTTTATATTGATATTTAATGGTTTAAAGATATATTAAGTAATTTTCTTTCTAAGACACGAACTACTACTATTTTATTTATTTGTCTGTAGGAAGGAAGATATTAATATCAAATTTCAAATTACAAATACTTGGGCCAAAAAGAGACAAATAATCATGGGCCATTGAAGTTGTATACTACTTCCATATTTCAAAACAAACAACACCAAAACAACTTCAGCATTCTTCTACCACAAAACTGGCAAAAGCAACTACCTTGCAAAATATTTGGGGATTGAATTATCAAGAAAGGAAAGATAAGGATGAAATCAGATGAGGATGAGAGCAAGAAATTCGGGATAAAAAAAAAATCCAAAAAGGAAGGCTGGATTGGGGAGATATATATCAAAGGGTTTGCTGGCACCGAATATCAGAGAGGGGACGAGAAGCTTTACGAACTTGCTGGGCGATTCTGGAGGACAACTTGGGTGTTTTCTGGGCTGGTCTTTTTGGTACTTGACAGATTTATTTTTGGGTGGATTTTCGGGGCAGCAACCGTGAGGAATCGGAAGCAGGCAGCCAGCGAAGGAAACACATCAGCTACCTGGGTATTATTTGTGGCTGTACTTTCATTTCTTCTTTCTCATAAATTGGTAAATTAGATTTAATTGTTAGTTTATGAGTTGGTATTACGAATTTAGTTGATTGTTTACAACTTTTGCATGTGTATTTCAATAGTTAGATTTGGTAGTAGTTTATTTCTGCTCCTCAGTCCATTATTGTTAGATTAAGAAGTAATTTCAAGTATTATTGGATTCGTTTACTTGTTTATATTTATTTTCTTACTTTCTTCAAGCAATATGATTATTATAGCTTCCATTGTTATCCGTTCACTCTTCAGTATGTTAGGCTAGATTAGTCGTGGGTACAGAGATATATTATACATTGGAATATTGTATTGTGAGAATAAGAATGTGATGATTTGAGGGTATTATGTTTATTTCTTGATTGGATTGATAATCTGTTTTATTAGTATGAACTAGTCAGATTATATTTTAGACCGGCCATCTTTAGTATAATTTGCTAGTTTAATTGCTAGAATATTAATTTGTGATACGTAATTGTCCTAATTAGTATACCTCAGTATCAATTAGGTGTTTGGTAGGTCACTAAAACTTGTCTGAATGCCTATGATTATCAACCCTTTAAGTTGCACGAATCCGAGCTTATGAGATTTGTAGCTTAAGTTTGCTACTTCCTAGTTTTTAATGCTGCTAATTAATCGAGTCTGGAGAGCTTGTTCTAGATTGTTAGTTAGTTAGACAACATTCCGAGAGCTTGTTTGGTTTATTTGCAATTAAGGGAAGTTTTGAATACTAGTTTGTGTTCATTAGTTAACATCAAGATATATGCATGATTTATGTAATTCGATGAACAATTGATATTCCAATGCTACAATATATATCCCGATCCTTATTTTGTCATTCTTGATTTTTAATATTTATTCTTACTGTTAGTTTCACATATCCGTAGTTAGCTTATTTTCAAGTCCGTAGTTTTATATATTAGATCGTAATAGTCATTCTTCAAATCAGGGGTTTTTAACATTCGCAAGTAATAATTTGATAATCTAATTCTATGTGGGATTGACCCTAGCTTACCTTACTACATTTTAGGAGGTTTTAGTTAGGTTTGTTTTTGGTAGACACGCGACAGTCGTACCAGCTATTCTATATTTTTCTAGATTTTTTTTTATTAATTCTCTATCCTATTGGTTACGCTTTATATTATACAAAATTCTTGTTTGATCCTTACCCTATAATTTTCCTAAACTTTGAGAATACCCTACTATTGCAATTATTACGAACAAGATGGAGTAAAGTGCTTGAGTTAGGACCAATTTTTTAAAAAAATTCGCTGAAAATGCAAAGAGATGATGTGAAGAAATATAAGACAACATCTAGGACACGAACTTCCACACACTAGTATAAGAGGCAAACATATCTGCAAATTTCCTATTAGTCCCTTTAAAGACCATATGTGCTCATGCTTATCATTACTAATATTATAAAACAGGAAGTTGGAAGGACACTTGTCTTCTTCCTGTGTTTCTGTTTAAATTTTTTTTTATTATTTTTTTTTGTTTTTCCTTTTTTTTTTAAATAATTTTTTTTTTACAAAAAATTCAATCAAACGTTGCTTCTATCCTCGTTTTCTTTCCATCCCAATTCCTAAATATATTAATCACGTCTTTTCCCTAATATCAATGAAGCGTTACAATTCACTTTTTTTTTTCATTTTTGTCTATTATTTCTTTTCCGATTGTTCATCTTTGGCTTCTTTAATAGTTAGTTCACCACTACCATCGTTTTGATTTTCAACCCAAAAAAAAAAAAAATAATTAGATTTCCTTTGTGTCTCTTAGTAAATTTCAATATAATATTCTACAATTACATTGAAAATTAGTTTATTTTCCCTTCCCTTACCGTTTTCCTTTTTGTTTCTTCCTTCTCTCAAAAATGAAAACGGTGAAAGGTATTATTTGTAAGACATAATATATTTCTTTGTTACATATAATAATTAACGGAGGTAGTATATATTTTTAATTTATTTGAAGTTACTTTACAAAATCATTGTCAATGTCTAATAAACATCAAGAACAAAATGGTGGTGTTGGACTCTAAGGTAATTTTCTAAATTTTGTTTACATTTCAATATTAACTTTTTTTACCCAAATTTGTTTTTGATTTTTTTATTTAGCAATTATACGTTTAATATCTTTTTTAACAAATTGTCCTTTATATTTTTGTGTAATTCTTTTTTGGAACAGAAGATCTGTATAAATTTTGTAAATTTTACAAAGATTTTTTATTTACATACAATAATATACAATATTTTTAAATTTTGTCATACTTCATATTTCCTATACATTAAGATCCTGGTTTTTATTTTAATTTTTATATTGATTTTAAAAAATACGTTTTCGAAATTTATTTATACTTTCAATAATATACAATATTTTAAAATTACGTTATACTATAATTTCCTATACATTAAGATCCTGGTTTTTATTTCAATTTTTATATTGTCTTTTAAAAATTCGTTTTCAAATTTTTATTTTTTTATGATTTTGAATTCAATCATCTTTTAAAGCAAATTATTCTTTGGAATTTCATTTAGGTTTTTATAAAGATTTGTATTTTGTATGTGTTTTAAATTTCATCTGGTTTTTTTTTTTCTTACGATATTTTTTTTCAAATTTGTTTATGGAAATTCGTTTTTAATTCTTATTTTTTGTGAAATTTGTTTTTATTTATTTTTAAATGAATTGTGCTTAACAATTTCATCTATCGTTTTTCAAAGATTTTCATAATTTTTTTATTTTCATTGTTTACAGATTTGATTTTTTTTTTTTTTTTAATTTTTATTTACAAAACCTTTTTAACTTAGACTTTGCTTGTGGTTTTCATTTAGGATTTTTTAACATTGTTTTTGTTAAATTTTGAATTACATCTACTAAACTATTTTTTTTATTTGGATAATTTTTTAATTTACAATTTAAATTTGATTTTGGTTTTGTTTATAGCTTTTTTTTTGTTATTTTTATTTATTTTTTAAAAATCCTATCTTATCCTAACGTTTGTTTATGAGTTGATAAAATTCATATTTGGCTTTTCTTTATTTTTCAATTTTGTATTAACTTTTCGTTTTTAATTCATTGGTTTGGATTTTTTTTTCTTTTATCTGTTTCTAAATTAGACTACTTTACAAGATATTGTACTCTGCAAGATACTATTTGTCTTTGATGTACTTAATTTAATTTTTTTTTCTTGTAAATTAATGTTTTTCGTTTTGGTGTTTCTTCTAAGTATTGTTGATTTATTTATTCATTAATTGTGATTTTGTGTGTTTTGCAGTTGAAAATTCATTATTTAGCAACTGAACAACAATATATTGGATGGTAGCTACATCAATTTTTTGAGAAGAAATTGTAATAATTTAAGAATTTTTAGATGATTAGTTAGGTACAAATGATTGTATATTCCTTTGCATTCTCAATAGTGTTAAATAATACTATAATCAAAATTGAAAGTAATAGTGTTTAATTATGCTTAATGATGCTTTTAGATGCATAAATAAAAATATAAAGTGTTCTTGGCGATCAATAAACACGCATATTTTTGTGTGTTTTTATTTAATTAAGAATTTCAACAACTCTATCGTTTAACTGCATCGATATATAATTTAATATTTTTCATTACATGCTTTGTTAGTCCTATATTGGTAGATAGTTTGCTTATGCAATATGTATCTCTCCTCACATGATATGATGTTATACAACTTTTCAATTAAAAAATATGAATTAAATTATAAGTAGTATTTCTACAATGCAATTTATATTTACATATAATATGATTTAAATTAAACGTAGAGCAATCCAAGTATACAATACAAAATATCTTTAATCAAATTATTAAAATATATTTAACTAACAAGTTTAACCCGTGCGATCACGGGCTAAATACTAGTTCAATAATAAAAGGAATTCAGTTTAAGAGGTAAAAGCCAAAGCCACTTCCTTTCCATATTAACATTTCTGAATGACATATTGCCAAGTCCTTTACTTCTTAGGTCTACATACTAAGTCCCCACTCCCTAACAATAAAAGGTCACCCCTCCTTTCCCCCATAATGACCACAAAAATCCCCTCATAAGTCTCTAGATTCTTAGCGACCCCTCAAGAGTCTCAATGAGCGAAAGCAAGTACAAAGAGATACTAGACAGCAGGGACAGGAAAAAGAAAAACAGAACAGAACAAGGGTGTTCACCTTAGAAAAAAAAAAAAAAAAAAAGCAACCTTTGTGTTTGTTTTGTTTGAGGAATAAGAACTCATTCCTTCATATAAAAATCCTTCAACATCCATCCCTCTGCATTAAAAGCCTCATCATCTATTCTCTCTCTACCTCTGGTCTAAGCACAGCCAACAATAATATCTTTCAGCGCCCTAATTCACCTATCATCAACCACAACTATCTGACATCACCAATGCTTGTTGCCTTCTTCAAAGACCGTGACCAACTTCTCATATCACCACCAGCAGTGCCTTGTGTGTGATCACCATCACTGCTACAATCTTGCATCAACAACCACCTTCCCAATTCCCAAATATATTTTTTGGTGATCAAAGATGTATAGCTCTAGCAGTGAAACCTCTGACCAACCCCGACTACACAGGCAGAAAACAATAGCAACTTAGCAAGCTTTACTTTTTCTGATACCATGGATGGTGACGTAGCACTTCTTCTTCACTGCTGCCTCCCTGTTTTCTAGTTTCTTTATTTTATCTAAAAACCGCCCTTCCCTCCCTCAGATCTGAATTTTCTTTTAAAGCGGTGGGCTAGTTGTTTATGTAGCGATGGAGGTGGTGGTTTTGCGTTGCATAAGGAATGGTAGCTATGGTGAGGTTAAAAATTTTGTGTGGAGAAAAACTCATTCACTCAAATCAGTCAGATGCCAATTAAAATATCTTTTTTAGAGAATTTATGTTAACTAGACATAAAATTATTACCGTTCATGATTCCAAAATATCGCACATCCATCCTGAGCATCACCAGTGCGAGCCTACAGCAACAAAAGGCAGAAAATTTTGTCAAGATGTCACTTTGAAGGCAACTTGAGAAAAGGTAAACAATTGATACCTTTAAAACACCTTCATATCCATCCTGTTGGAGGGCAACATATAAATCACTATAACAATCTACTTCCTACAGTCACATGCAAAGATTAAACATAAAAAGATTAAGAAATCTAATTCCATAGTGCCAAACAGATGAAAAACTGAAAAAGACAAGGTAAACAAATGTTAAAGAGACTTGAGAAGAGCAGAAATATTTTTTGAGAATAGAAAAGGGTTAGTATAATAATCTTGCAAAATTAATAGTTATGATATTTTCCTTAAAAAGAGCAGAAAATCACAACTTCTTCATCACACCATACACCCAATCCCCTTTGAAGTCATAATATATACAAAAAGTACAATATTCAGAGAAGGAAACAAGAAACACTGGACTTGCCTGAAAACAAATGATGCTAGGACCATACCGAGCTAACTCTTTGCATATAGCTGCCCTCCGGTGCTCCCATTTCATGTACTTGAATGGAACCCCAAAATACAAATGGGGATGCTTTGATGCATTCTCAACGCCTAAAATGTTGTATGTTACGAGGACAATCCTATCTGTAAAGTGTTAATAAAAAACAAATAGGGAGAAACTGTAATCAGAACCAAAGTCTAAACAGTTGCATCTCAATTCAGAACCAACAACAACAAAGTCTCAGTTCAGAGCCTAATCAAAAAAGAAAATTAGGATGCATAATCACAAAAGTTTACAATTTATAGAGAAGCATAATAGAAGACACATACAATGCCAGTCCTCTCAATAACATATTAATAGATCGAGGAAGAATTGGAATAGCTAAAGAGCCCCCCCCTTTTTTTTCTTTTTTTTTTGTAAAAAGGAGACTTGTCAATGACTTCAGGGCATGGAAATTTATAACTCTAGACCTCTTTTGTATAGGGTTGACACTTTTAAACAACCTGGGATTAAAACTAGCGGATTGAACACCATCATAATTTAGATACATAAACCAACTCACGAGTCTTGTCAAAATAAAGGACTGAAGGTCAAGTACAGTTAATGAATAACGTCACATAACAAAACCCCAAGGCATCTTAATATCAAGGATGAAGCCTGCTCGACAACAATTTCTATGATCACAACTGCAAAGGACCAAAACTAATTGAAAACCTGCAACAGAACTATCACACTGTGCAACAGCATAACTGCAACCAGCATTTCTACCACTCTAGCCTACGCTTGCAAGGTTTCTCCGCCTCGCTTTCTTAACAATATATTAAGTCAGTTATATACATCCAGAAAATCCACATTGCATCCAATGCTAGCAACATATATCTAATGCATGACGTTCACAAATAAGCAAAGAAAAAGAACCACTGGTACAAAGATGTGAACTATATGATATAGTATTAATGTATAAATGAATTCAACAGAAAAAAAAATTCGCATCTTTACTTTTATAACGAAAGCTCTACTATCCCAATGCTTTGTAATACTGATTTACAATTTTTTTTTCATATATAAAGTCGCGCACTTTATTTTATTGAGAGTGGATTTTGACGGAGTGTACCTTGAGCATTGTGCACCCAAGTGCACCATCTAATTCATCAAATTCAACCACAAAATCCATAAATAAATGCAACAATCTGAATAATACAACAAAATCAAAATAATTCGAATCATCAAAATCGATAGTTACCTTTATAATCAGAGGAATCGCAATCCGAATAAGTCCATTTACGATAAACATGCATACTTGTGGAATCCAGCCGCCTGCTGGTCTTCCACTCCGAATGCCGCTTATACGAATATGATTGAATTGCTTTAAATTGGTTGGAACTTGAAGAACTGCTTCGAACAGTACATCGACTTAGGGTTAGGGTTTGTTCTTCTTCATCGTGAATTGTTTTCCGTTTGTTGGAAAATCGATTATAGCGTTTGGAGTGTTGGTCCGCCATGTTCGCTTTCTGTTTTGCAGAGTGATGAAGTTATGATTCGAGGTCCGGTATTATTTGAGGGAATCGGGTCCAAATAGTTACTCCTTCAGATTAATTGCAACAAGTTAAAAATTGCATTTGTTGTCATGGGAAATTTTATATACTAATTTTTTTTCTAAGTGAGGGACCTAAGAGATTTCTATTATGGCGCCTTGATCAGACCAACCTTAATTTAAGAACTAAGTAACATAAGCAATAACGAGAGCAAACACAAAAATACTTTTCTTATTTTAGAGTGAAAGTACAATACAGGGCAAAGTACCCTAATGAGTGAATTCCCACCAAATGGGGCAAGTCCTCTATTTATATTACTCAAGGGCTGCCCACATCCCAGCCAAATAGGAATAATTTCTCACTACTTTATTAACTGCTCACTACATGGTAACTACCCACTACAAAGTAAGTGCTCCTTTGTACAAATGTCTTGCATGCACATTCATAGCATAACCGTCCCTTAATATAGGAGTAGTGGGCTACGTGGGTGGTTATAACCGCCCAGTTCCCCACTACCAAGCCCTCCTAAATTTAAGGGATTACTGCCACGTCATCATTATGCTTCTTAACTGATGAGCAGTTACCACTCCGTGGTAACCGTCTCCCAAGACCCCCACAAAAGGGGTAACCATCAACCCACGTTCTCCACTAAGCCATCCAAGTAACCATCGAGTAACTACCCCATCTGTGATCCATATAAATAGTGTTCACTATGAATATCAACCACACTAAGTTATGCTTAGACTCCCGGAGTCTAGTAACTCTTAGCCATCGTGTTAATCGCGCCAGCGCCAGGTAGGCGCGGCCGCGATGAGAGCGCGCCTAAACCGCGCACCTCTGTGGAAATCAGCATTTGGATGACAGTTGGTGGCGCGCCCGCGCTTCAGGTCGCGCTTAAACCGCGCCCCTTACTGTCTTCAATTTCATTTTGCAGGCATTTTGGGAGGAGCGCTCGCGCCGACATGTGGCGCGCCCGCGCCTGTTTGTGTCACGCCCGCGCTACTTCCCAGTTTTGCGGTTATTTGCTGACGGTTGTTTCTCTAATAAAAGAGAATTTCGTGAAAAACGAAATATATACAGAACATTTCTCTCTTCCTCTCCAAAAAGAAATTCTCCACATTTTTCTCTCAATTTTCTTGCAAACTATTGTGAGAAATCTCTTGAAATTTAGTCTTTATTGTGAATTCTTCATTGTACTTCGATTCTAGTGCTAAGAACGAAGTTTTGCTGTCAATTGTATCTCAAAGAGGATTTCCGGTTTAACCCAAGCACCGTGTGGGGGAAATAAACCTCTTTAGGAAAGTGTATACACGCCTTTGACAGTGTATCAAGGTTTGAGACTCTAGTGGTCATCATTTTCTCATGTTCATGTTCATTATCTTCAAGGCTTGGTGTTGAGGCAAGTTTGTATTCTTTACATTAGTGTTTTCATTTGTAATTTTCTGAAATACATTGTAATTTTTGGTGCTTGGTTATAATACTTCGATTAAGTATTTGGTTGTTGTATAATTTGATTATTATACACTATTTTAGGTTTTGTTCCCACAATTTTAAGTAATTCTTTGTTAATTGAATTGCTGTAAAACCTAACAGGATTAACTTAAGCATCACTAAGTCCCCAACTTGGAACTCAAGTGGCTTATGACGTTTATCCGCTTTTTCTTCATTCGACGCTGAGCCTTAGCTAAGTTATCCCTTGCCTCATCCATCATTTTCTGCCTATCTCGGGAAAATAATATGCTGCTGGACACTTACCCCCTGACTTTGTCTTTGCCACCGTAGCGGGAGTCATTGGTTGCCATCCCATGGCTAACTCAAATGGACTATACCCTGTTGCGCTACTTTGGTGCAAGATATAGCAGAATTAGGTTGTCTCCAACAGTCCCATCCAATTCCATTGAGAGGTACCCACATAGTGCCTCAGGTATTCCTCGAGTAGCGCGTTAATACGCTCCGTCTGCCCATCCGTTTGAGGGTGGTTCGCAGTCAAAAGCTTCAACGGTGAACCCAATTGGTTGAACAAATGCAACCAAAAATTCCCTGTAAACCGAGTGTCGCGGTCACTAATTAAATCTTGGGGAAGGCCAAAATACTTGACCACGTTCTTACAGAATAGCTTCACGGCTCTCTTAGTCGTGCATGCATCCAGAGCAACACAAAATACCGCATATTTTGTGAACCGATCAACTATCACAAGGATCGATTTCAGCCCATCCACCTTGGGCATCCCTAATATAAAATCCATGGAGACCGACTGCCACGGTCTCTCAGGAGTGGGGAGAGGTTGAAGGAGACCAGTTTCTTTCCTTCGTTTCTCCTTATCTTGTTGGCAAACCAGGCACGACTTAACATATGCCTCGACATCCTGACTCATCTTTGGCCAAAAATAATCGTGGGATAGGAGCGCCAATGTCCTTTCCTGTCTAGGATGTCCTGCCCACTGGGTGTCATGCACCTCGTGCATGAGTTCAAATCGAAGCATTCCCGCTGGGATGTAGAGTCTATCCCCCTTAGCATAGACCAAACCATCCTCTATCCAGAACTGCCTTGCAGTTCCATAGTTAATTTGTTCCTTTAGCATCTCATAGGATCGGAAGCATCGCCCACAACGACAGTCCTTACCTTCGCTGTGAAGTTAGACTCAACCGCTGTCAAGGCAGCAACCAGCTCGTGAAACCTACGACTAAGAGCATCGGGGACCACACTATGCCGACTGGGCTTATGCTCCCACTCGAAGTCATACTCACCCAAAAACTCTTGTCGTCGGGCTTGTTTTGGGGAGAGCTTAGGTTGCGTTTTAAAGTAGGTGTTAGCGACATTATTTGTCTTAACCACAAACTTTGTCCCGAGAAGGTACACCCTCCAGATCATAAGACAATGCACAACCGCTAGCATTTCTTTCTCATGAGTTGTGTACCTTTCCTCAGCTCCTTTTAGCTTTGGACTCTCGAAGGCTATGGGGTGCGCATCTTGGACAACACCCCACCAATAGCCCTATCCAATGCATTATTATGCACTTCAAAGGGTCTATCGAAGATAAGCAACTTCAAGACTAACTCACTATCCACGCCCATCTTGATATCCCTAAAGGCATCCTCGTACTCTTGCGTCCATTCCCACCCATGCTCCTTCTTGAGTAGGTCGGTTAGTGGGGATATCCTCTTGGCATAGCCAACTATAAACTTTCGGTAATAGTTAGCAAGCCCCAAGAAGGACCTTAGGTCGGATACGTTCTTTAGGGGTTGCCAATCATGGATAGCTTTCACTTTATGCTCATCCATCCTCACTTGGCCTTTAGCGATGTTATGACCTAGGAACATAATTTCCTTTTGGGAAAATTTACATTTCTCCTTTTTAACAAAGACCTAATGATCTTTGAGACGTTGGAGAACTAAACGTAAATGATTGCAATGCTCAAACAAAGATTTGCTATAAATCACAATATCATCCAAATAGACAACAACAAATTGATATAAAAATTCATAAAGAACAACGTTCATGAGATTACAGAAGGTTTTTGGGGCATTAGTAAGCCCAAACAACATAACTAAAAACTCAAATGAACCATAACGAGTAACACACGTCGTTTTGGCTTCATCCCCTTCCGAGATTCTCACTTACCATTACCCGGATCGCAAATCTAGCTTAGTAAACCAAGTTTCTTGTGCCAAACGATCGAACAAGTCATCAGCCCTTGGAATTGGATACTTGTTCTTGATCGTCACCTTATTTAGTGCCCTGTAATCAATACACATACGTAAAGATTCGTCAAATTTCTGCTGAAATAAAACGGGGGCACCGAAAGGAGCTTTTAAGGGTTGAATAAAACCTACGGCAAGAAGGCCGTTCAACTGGGTCCACAACTCAGCAAGCTCCCCTGAACTCATCCGGTAAGGGGCACGAGCAGTAGGCTGGGCCCGTGGCTCTAGATCAATATCATGCCTTGGAGGGAGATTCTTTGGAAGTTCTGGGGGCATCACACCCTTGAACTCGTCAAGGACCCCAGCAACTTCATTCGGCACCTCGACACTCTTGTCAGGGCTAATCTCCACAAGTGCAGCTAGGAATATGGGCTTGCCCTTGGCAACCAAATTCCTCACTTGTAAGGCAGAGCAGAACTCCAAGTTTCGCTCGAAATCGCATCCCACATGATTTGATTGAGAGGGGCTAGGCACACCTTTCACAAAGCATGGGCCATCCTCATCTCCAATGAACATTCCACTTAGGTAGGGCATCACCGATGCCTTAGCCTTGCGAATGAACTCGTTTCCCAGAATGAGTTTGAAGTCGTCAAGGGTGACTACAATCAATTTAGTTTTTCCTTTCCAACTGCTCACTTGCACGTTGACACCGTGCACACTTCCTTTTGCCACAAGGGCATCGGAATTCACGGCTTTCATAAGACTAGTGCAATCGAACAGCGGAAGGTTGAGCTTCTTCGTAGCTTCTTCACTCACAAAGTTATGAGTGGTACCCGTGTCAACCATAGCCTTGATATCGTGTCCATTGACACGCACATCCACATACAGAAACCCTCCATAAGGGTCAATGGTTGTGGCCCTCACGGCATTCAACAGGCCTAAGGGTTGACGCGAATGGGGACATCCTCGTCCACCTTTTCCGCTACAGGCTCTTCTGCAACCATTGCTCCAAGTTTCCCTTTTTTGGGACAATCTCTAGTAAAGTGCGGCCCTCCACAAGTGAAACAGCCGCCACTTCCAAGCTTGTTCCCTGTATCTTTAGCATTAGATGAAACAACTTTACCCTTACCATCGGGTTTCTTGTTCTTACCTTGGCATTGCCCGCTATTCTTTCCCTTTCAGAGACCATTCCAACATTTCCATTTGTTGTTTGTTCCCGAAGAGGCTGCAACATTAGTGTTTCCTGGCTTAAGATCAACAAGAGCATCAGCAGCAGCAAAAGCCGCGGAGAAAGTCCTAAAGTTTTGCCCACGCAATTCAGTTTGAGCCCAAGTTTTTATACCTGAAATAAAATTAAAAACTTATCTTCCTTAGTCATGTCTTTGATATCCAGCATCATCGAGCTGAATTCCTTCACAAAGTCATGAACAAACCCAGATTGGTGAAGGCTCTTCAAAGCTTCACGATCATGCCAGGTGGCATTATTGGGAAGGAACTAACTCTTGAGTTCCCTCTTTAGCACGACCCACTCTTGGATGGGATTCCTTCCAACGGCTCGATTAAGTTCTACACGAGATCTCCACCATAGTTTAGTGTCCCTCACAAGGTACATGGTAGCAACCGAGACCTTATCATGGTGTGGAACATGAGAAACCCTGAAGTAGTGCTCAATGTCCCATAGAAAGTTCTCCACATCCTTAGCATTCCTATCACTCGAGAAGGGTTTAGGATCAGGGATCTTTAGCTTGAAGGGATCAGCCCTTCTCTTTTGTAGGTGTTCAATTTCCCTACGAAGGTCTTCAACCTCCCCACTAGAGTGAGGAGATGGAGCCCTATAGTTGCCTGCGATGTTGTCCAACTTCCCAAGCATCTCGACTTGCATCTTCCTAGTGGCTTCCAAGGACTCTTCAATGGAACCCATGTGTTCCTTCATCAAAGGCAACTCAACATTCATCTCAACCACACGGCAATTCACATGCTTCCAATTTGGAGAGTGTGGAGGTTCCTCACCTTCTTCCAAGGGAGAGAAAGGAGGAGAAACAGGAGAGTGCAAGTGTCACCAACAATCCTCGCTTCAGGGGCCTCCTTGCTTTGAACCGTCGACTTTAGGAACTTCAATAATGTTGGTTGACTTACTTCTAGCCATGACAAATGTAAGGTACTTTGCTTTTCCGGCAAGCCGGACCAAATTATCACGGGAAATTTTATGGACTAACTTTTTTTCTAAGTTAGGGACCTAAGAGGTTCCCGTGATGGCGCTTAGACCAAGTCTAGACCAACCTTAATTTAAGAACTAAGAAACACAAGCAATAACGAGAGAAGACACAAGGATACTTTTATTACTTTAGAGCGAGATTACAATACAGGGCAAAGTGCCCTAATGAGTGGGCCAGCAAATGGGGCAAGTCCTCTATTCATACTACTCAAGGGCTACCCACATCCCGGCCAAATAGGAATAACTTCCCACTACTTTGTTAACTGCTCCCTACATGGTAACTACCCACTACAAACTGCTCCTTTGTACAAATGTCTTGCATGCACGCTCATAGCATAACCGTCCCTTAATATAGGAGTAGTGGGCTACGTGGGTGGTTACTATAACCTCTCACTTCCCCACTACCAAGCCCTCCTAAATTTAAGGGATTACTGCCACGTCATCATTATGCTTCTTAACCGATGAGCGGTTACCGGTAACCGTCTCCCACAACCCAAACAAAAAGCGTAACCGTCAGCCCACGTTCTCCACTAAGCCATTCAAGTAACCGTCGAGTAACTACCCCATCCGTAATCCATATAAATAGGGTTCACTATGAATATCAACCACACTAAGTTTTGCTTAGACTCCCGGAGTCTAGTAACTCTTAGCCATCGTATTTAAATCATGGTGCACTCGTTCCGTCCAAGCCATAGCTCGAGCCAATCACTTAGCCAAATCCCACCGTGCCCCAACCCCCATAGGCAATCCTATGTCGAAGGCTACGCCCATGGCCCATGGCCATGAAGCCACCCAAGGTCTCCCACCAACCTATGAGTGAGCACCTGCCCCCTAAAGAGCCTTATATTGATTTGGTCAAGTAATACCATTGAACACCCCATTGACAGAAACACAATAATGGTCCCATGGGCCATTCTCATCCTCATGGTCCCATCTAGGGTGTGGTTGAGAGGTTACTAGGACCTTCTTATAGTGCCCCGCCCTTGCAAGACCGGGTCGAGGGGTTACTAAGCAAGCCTAAACAATAGGTGGAAGGTTGCACCCGGGAGTAATCATGGCCCTGCCATGCAACTAACGCGAGGTCGTGGCTATGTCAACGGCGGGGGCTCTAGCCCCTGTCTTTGGTTGTGACAAAAACTTATTATACTCTATTGCTCATTTTCCAGTGCCTCATAGTAATGGTATGACACAAGCATCACAAGGACAACACGGTTATTTTCCAACATTTGAAAATTTGAAATACAATTTGGGTGGCTGCCAACGTGTAAGACCCGTTATGCGTCTTATGACCACAATATTCTGTTGCTTATGTGACATGGGTTAAAACCTACTCAATGAGATATATTTTTTTTTCCGCTTCGGACACATATATTTCCTTAATTCAATTCTTTAAGGTTTAGGGTTCTCCGCAAATTTCCCCAATTCAATTGTTTGAGGTTTAAGGGTTCTCTACAATCAATCGATTGTTTGTGGTTTAGGATTTATCATTCTTTGCAATCAATCGTTCTTCGTTCATCGCAATTAGGGTTCTTCGCTCAAAGGAAATATGTATCTTCTCAAAGAAATTAGGCTCAAACACCAAAAGTTTTGCCAACTTAGGGCTTTTCCAAAGGAATTAGGGTTCTCGCAAAGGCATTAAGGCTCTTCGCAGAGGAATTTACAAAGGATTAAGTGTTTACTAGCTACTCAATTTGCAAAGGATTAAGTGTATGACAATTTTTGACGAGTAATGTACGAATCTTTTTTGTTGAATTATTGATGGTTTGGTTTATCTTTTGTTTTTTATTTAACTATGGAATATCATAAACTTTTCATAGTTTTTCCTGTGATTTGTTACGTTGTTGGTTAAAAAGATAGGTAATTTTGTGTTTATAATAAACTGGGTTGAATGGTTAAATTAATCCTGAAGTCACATGTATTAGGCATAAAACAATACATAATCAAGTTACGATTTATGCAACTTTTCAACATGGTTAAAGGTAAATTGTTACTTAAGAAACTTCTTAAGAGGGTATACTTGCATGTTAAATGAAACTAGCTAGTTTTTTCCCAAGCGATGCCCCGCTTCATTGTTTTATTAAAAAAAACAATCGTATATTTTTGCAAATATTATTGAACATTAAAATATATTATTCAATCTGCAGTAACCTAAATTTCACATATGTTTAATTTATTTGTTAATATGATTTTATTCTTCAGTTGTCATAAAAAAAATCATTAATAAAGTAAATGTATTTTGTGGTCAATAGAAAAAACCTTTAAAATTGCTATATATTTTTAGGTTACATATTTTAAATACTTATAACCTATACATAAGAATTATGAATGAGTAAATGAAAGAAATGAGATCAATTTTATAATCATATTGTTATTGATATACTCATAAGTTGATAACACTTTTTAATATGATTTTATTATTTTCATGATTGATATCCTTATAAATATTTGATATTGATATAATGACAAGTAATATGTTAAGCCACTTATCAAATCCATCTTTCTTTCAGAGATTCAGATTTTAGAGTTTCAGAGAGGAGGAGATTGATTCTAATATATGGAAGATAGTACTTAAAAATCATTTTAGCTTTTAGAATCCGATTTGTAATTGTCTAAAAAGCTAATTTATCCTAAATAAAATTTCAGGCCAAATCAGGTTTGGGTTGGGGAGTAGCTGACCCGAACACGAACCCGACCCGACTTGGTTTGTTTGACACCCCTACTTTTAATATATAGTATAAATATTGATTGATTGATTTGATTGGGTTAATTGCAATCGATAGATGTATATTCAAGATTCAATGTAGTATTGAGAACATTGAATTATTTTTTGTTTTTGGCCCATATTGAATTGAAATAGCTTCTTCAATTTATTTATTTTTTTTTTATTTTTTTTTATTTTTTTTTTCAGAATTGAAATTTAGTAAAGGGAATTGCCTTTTTGGCCCATATTGAAATTAAAATAGCTTCTTCAATATTTTTCAAGGGTAATCGATTGCAATATTCTAAATTTGCTTTTAGGTTGTGTCTTCTTTGTATTTGGATAATGTTCTTCTTTGTATTTCGATTGTATTTGTGAACTATGTTGATGTTCTTCTTTGTATTGTTTTTATGTTTTGGGAGAATGACAAAAAGGAGATATGGAGATACGTCACATGGTACTCATAGGATTTTAAAGACTATTGGAGTATGTGAAGGATCATCTACTACAAAGGGTGCGAAGAAAAAAAAAAGGGTGTTGTTATTCGTCGCTCCCATTTTACCGGGCGTCGCTCGCATTTTTGCCTTGAAATTCCTAAATTGCCCCTTGGTTATATATAGCCACGAGACTCCCGAACTACACATTTCACACTTGAATTTTCTCTCTCTAAAATTTTCTCTCTCTAAAATTTGTAATCTCTCTAAAAAAACAGATTTGTAATTTTCTCCCAAAAAAAAACCAAAACCGAAAACAACCACAATCGAGTTGCAATGGCTGACCGGAGGCGCATAAGGTTCACGCATGGTGGTCGTGGCGGCGGTGGATTTTCCGGCGAACAGGTAATCAAAACGTAAAAAAAAATCTGCGGAAAAAATCTGGAAAAACCCAGAATTTCTGGAAAAAGGGGACATCCGCCTGAAAAATCCGGATGTTCTAGGGACATCCGGATTTTTCAGGCGGATGTCCCCTTATTTCCAGAAATTCTGGGTTTTTCCAGAATTTTTTTTTTTCATTTTTTTTTTTCGTTTTTTGTATTTCTTCTTTTTTCCGATTTTTTTGACGTTTTTCAGTTTTCGTTTTTTTTTTGTTGTTGTATTTTATTTTTCCAGTTTTTCTTGCATAAATTTTTTATAATTTTCAGTTTCGGTTTTTTTTTATCAGTTTATTTTTTATTTGCACATTTTTTTTCTGTTTTTTTGTGTGTTGTTGTTGTCGTTGTTGAAGTCGTTGTTGTTGTTGTTGTTGTTGTCGTTGTTGCTGTCGTTGTTGTTGTTGTTGTTGTTGAAGTGGTAGTTGTTGTTGTTGTTGTTCTTGAAGTTGTTGTTGTTGAAGTTGGTGTTGTTGTTGTCGTTGTTGGAGTTGTTGTTGTTGTTGTTGTTGTCCTTGTTGTTGTCTTTGTTGTTGTTGTTGTTGTTGTTGTAATTATTAGTATGTTTTTGTTTAGTTTTTATTTTGTAATTTTTTTTTTTATAATTTTTTTTATTTCTTTATTTTTTAAATTGTTTATCTTTGTTAATTGTTTTTAATTTGTTTGTGATGTTTTTTTTTTGTCGATTTATTTTTTATCCTTTTGTTTCTATGTTTGTGAGGTTTTTTTTTAATGTGTTATTCATTTATGTTTCTTAATTTTTGTATATTAGTTTGTGATGTTTTTTTTTTGTATCGAGTTTTTTTTTATTCTGTTGTTATTATCTTAGTGAGGTTTTATTTTTGTTCGTGTAATTTGTTTATACTTGTTATTTTTTTTTATTTGTTTGTGAATTTTATTGTTTTATTTGTTTATGTTTTTTGGTTTGTTTTTGTGGTTTTTCTTGGGAAAATTTATTTTTGTTTATGCTTTTTTTATTATGTACGTACTTAACATAGATTGAGGGTTCGGGAACTCGTCACGCAATATCTAGGCGTTTGAACGCCTCAGTTAGGCGGGAGTCAGGCCGTTTAGGAAATACGGCCGAACCGTTCGATCACCAGCAGCAGTATGGGTATGCTGGTAACTGGTCGGGGGAGCAGCAGCCAGAACGTAGCATCCCCATGTACTCGTCGGGTGGAGTGCCTTCACCTTCATCTGACGATGAGGACGACGAGGCAAGTCAGGCTTCCCGCGATCAAGAGTATGACCCTCGTTATTATCATACGGTGCAACGGGGTCAGACTGGGAGATTTGTCAGCAGTAGTCAAACCAGTCACCCTTCCACCAGCACAACAGAGGCATGGGTAGTGCAGGAGGCAATGCCAGGAGGTCCTGAGGATGGGACCGTTATCCCTAGCTTTGGGGGCACGTGGCTGCGTATATATGGGGCGGGCAGGAGCGTAATGTTTTGCGCTGTTTGGGCAGGACGCAGTTGTGTTCTGAGTTGGTCTCCTGGCGAGGTCGTCTTGCACAGGAGCATCTGGAGTTGATTAACAGTAGCGGTCTGTCTCACTTACCTGGGATCATGTTCAGGCGTTTGGATTGGCCGCTGATTTCAGCTTTTGTTGAGAGATGGCAGCCAGATATGAACACGTTCCATATGCCATTTGGGGAGATTACGATCATGCTGCATGATGTGTACTACATACTAGGGCTTTGTGTAGATGGTAGCATGGTGTCCGCTACTCCCATCACGGACACCCTACGGGACGCATGCTCGATCACCATGGACTTGACTGCACAGGAGCTGAATGAGAAGAGCGGTACCAAGACCATTTGGCAGGGTAGTGGGGTGCTGACAGAGAGGATTGCGGAGTCGACCCTGGAGTTGTAGAGGCCTTTTAATGTCCATTACAGTTCCTACCTGTGGTTAGTGCTGGGCGGATGTCTGTTTCTGGACAAGAGTGGTAACCGTACTCATCCGTCCTTCCTCAGCGAGCTTGTTGTGGATGATCTGCCGATCGATGAGTACTCTTGGGGTTCAGCTGTTCTAGCGTATTTGTATCGGCAGTTGGGTACGACATCTAGGAAAGATGCCAATTCTATCGCTGGTTGTCTCACACTTCTGCAGGCGTGGATCTATGAGTATTTTCCATGCTTCCGGCCTCAGCAGGGTACCTTGACTAGGGAGCTTAGTGTTCCGCGTGCCTCAGCTTGGGATGTGGGATCGGGATGCCCCAACAAGAGCATGGAGCGCCTCCTCGCATTTCGATCTAGATTGGATCAGCTGACCGATAATGAGGTTAACTGGCTCCCGTACGGGGTTGATCCGACACGTCGTGTGCCAGCCACTTTATTCATCGACTGCATCCAGTATCGAGGTATCATTGAGCCATACATGCCTGATCGAGTCGTTCGTCAGCTGGGATTCGTGCAGGACATTCTGCGGACCATTATCAGGCCTGAGAAGGCTAAGAGGCCGACGAACTTGAAGATGTATCGGGTAGAGTTCCCGACTGAGATGACATCAGTGATGTGGACTCGGTTTGTCCCTGGTTCGTCGTTCAGTGTTGTTCCCGGTGCCCTTACCCGACTCGGCGGTGGAGCTCCTACGGTCGGTCCTGGTTACATGCAGTGGCTCTACCGATTTTCGCATCCTCGTATTTCTCCGGTTGGGTCTTCAGCTGGGGACAGACTTCCAGAGAGGACTAACACGGACTACGTAAGCACTTGTGTTTTATTTATACTTTAACTTTCATGTACGCTAACTGTGAATTATGTAACTAATGTGTTGTTCTCTTATTTGCAGTGGATGGGTCGTTCCTTGGAGATTCACCATAGGGCACTGGCGGAGTATCCCAGCATGTCGCCTGACACGAGGGGGATGACTGAGCAGCTGATTTTGGACTGGCAGGCGAGGATGGGGCTGTGATCCACTTCTGTTTTTGTTTACCATTAGCTAGTTCATCTGAAACTTTGTTTTGTAAATAAAAATAATGTAATTGCGAGTTTTGTTTCAACTTTGTATCATTAATTTGATTGATTTCCTTATATTATATCCCTAGAACTGTTCAACCTAAATTACATAAATCTGATCAGCCTAATTACATAAATTCGTCTTCCAACGTAATAACATAAATAAGTTCATCCTAATTACATTTGTGTATTCAACCTAATTACATGTATGTGTTCAATCTAATTACATAAGTTCGTCTTTCAACCTAATTACATAAATATGTTCAGCCTAATTACATATATCTATTCAACCTAATTACATAAATATGTTCAACCTAATTACCTTAATAATGTTCACTGGCCAACTAATGCATCCCACATGTTCCTTCTAGCGATATACAACTGATCCCATCCACCGACACTTGGCTCGTGGTTCTCTGTCCACCATCCTGCGATCGGAGAAAGAGGTGAATTGTCGACTAGATCAATGCAGATGAAATGTGACCCCCAACTGTAGCGATGACAAATTCCCGGGTTGGTGCTCTGACCCCGGCTCGTGCCCGCAACGGTAAGATGGTGAGACAAGGGTAATAGCAGGTCGGGTCGTTACCTACACCAAGAATTATAACCACTGCGTTGAACCAAGTAGCAATGGGAAATAAATCTTGAATAGCAACCATCCAGTGTCGTGAATCAACAGCCCCACCATCCCATCGAATGCGATCCACATTCAGCCACACCCTTCCTATCCCGTATATCCTTTCGTACAAGAAGGGGTGAGCGGCGACCTCGTTCGCTAGTATTTCCCAAGCGTCATACCACTTCGCTTGATCCTCGAGGAAGAATTCGGCCACACAACGAAATCCGCAGTTACCATCGCCAATGACGTCCTTCCATCCCGTGATGTAAGGCAACATCGGTCCTGGGAGCAAGTGCAAATATCGGCATTGGCGGATGTCACCTTGATCTTCTGCCACTACACATTTTATGTTTTCGTTATGAGTACGGAAGAAGTTGAAAGATGTGTAAATCACAAAACCAATAGCAAGCCGTACCTGTTTGCTGCGTACGACGTTCAGTGTATCGACGGTCCACATATTCGAAGTAACTGTGATGTCGTCTAGTATCGTTGTTCCTTCGGCGACCTCGAACGTTGTGATTCACTTGCAGTTCTTCGAGGTTTGAATAATCTGGATGCAGCTCCTCCTCAATAATGCGAGATACATTTCGAAGTGCAGTAGGATCACTAGCAACGACCTCATCAACCAAGGAACGAAAATGTGCAGCATCCTCGTTACAATCGTTCACGAACTCCGGTACATTAACACCATCGCCGATGACCAAGGTCTTCCAGAATGGATGAATTTGCCTTCTATACAAGCCTGTTTGCGCAACCAATGAGTCATGTATCTGGCAAGCGCATGGAAAACCGTGGGTCACACGCATTGCACATCCACAAGGTTCATGCACCTGGTAACTCAGCTCCCTCATCCTTCTTGTCTCGTCATCTAGTACTTTCAGACAATGCTGAGACACCTTGCCGTTAATACGAGACAGTGGCAACTGTCTGTACTTCTCACCGATCTTCGACCTTGACGCCTCCAATGAATTACGAATGGCAATGATCTGGTTGCCAATATGACTATGTACTCGGGCCCATACGGTATCCAAAGAACCTGCCATTGAAGTTAACTATAAAAAACCCATTGGTATTTACAAAAAAATGGAATTCAAACAAAGTACATACACCGGCTACAGAATTCCAACAAAATACTTGTCGAAGATTCAAACCACATCTTCACGGCCGAATGTTGACTCTCAACTCGGCAAGTGCTCGTGTTACCGAGGTGCAGAACCTGGTTCGTCCAGAATGTCACGAATTTGGTCTTATGACAAAGCCAGGTTCTCTCGACATAACTAATCACATTTGGGAAACTGGCCCACCGGGTTTTCATTCTGTCTACAGCTGAGTTATAATCCGCCTCAGTCGTGGCATCCATGATACGTTTCCAAGGACCGTTTTTGAATTGCGCCCCAATCTTCTTGTTCTTGAACATACTAGTGACCCGAGCCTCCACATCTTTGTTAATGTGCCACCGACAAAGCAAATGCGACGTCCCGGGAAACTCTTCTCTCAATGCCGCACAAAGTCCAAGCTCACGGTCTGTCAGAAATACCGATGGCTCCTTATCATACCCAATCAACTCTCTTAATCTATGTAGAACCCACCGGTAGCTTCCCGTGCACTCGTTGCGCATGAACACATAACCGACGAGGAAATTCTGATTTGTCGGTGTCACACCGACTATCTCAATGAACGGCATCCCGTATCGGTTGGTCTTGTATGTCGAATCCATGCCGATCACATACAGATACGTCCGTAGTATGTTCACCGTGATCGGGTGCACCATAAACGCATGATGCAGAACGCCGACATCATCAGACATGACCCAGTAAATATACCGGCAGAAATTGCTGAACAACTCCTCTCCCATCAGACATCTCCGCTCTCAAGTCATTCCTACAGTTGTAGATATGTCGGATGTTTGGATGATCATCGGGAAATTGCTCAACAATTGTCGCCATGATGTTCCGCGGTGCAACCTTGGACTTTGTCATGTCATGGACATGCTTCTTCGCATCCGGGCTCAAGCCACTGATCTTACGATGACCCTCCGGATAGACAATCATTGGATGGTTATGGGTCCCAGTTGCATCATTCTTGGCCCGGATCTTCCAACTGTCGGTGACGAAGACATAATAAATCTTGATGTAGAAAGGACAACCAATTGCTTTGGTTTTGGTGTCCCTCCTAATTGCATTCTCAAGATCTCTCGGCTAGCTCTTTCGACCCCTATCACACCTCAAATACCGGTACGGGCGACCGTCTTTGGTTTTGTTGTAAGACGATTTAACCAAAAGAAAACCCAGATTTACGGCAACAGCATTCGCCCAATTAACTGCCTCATCAAACGTTGGAAACAACGTGTCTGTGGCAAAATGCGCACTATAATTCACATCATCGGCACCATCTTCGTACTCCGAACCCTATAAACAAAAATGAAGACACACATAAAACACAAACACGTTACTTCTAATTCTAGTATAGACAATAATAGTAACAATATTAAAAATAATATTAACAATAACCACAACAATACAAAAAACAACTTAACAATAATCATAACAATACAAAAAATAGTATAAACAATAAAAACATTAACAATAACACTAATATAATAACCATAACAATAATAACAAAATTAATCGAAACAATAACAAAATTAATCATAATAATTACACAATTAAACATAACGATAATAAAAACAATAATAGTAAACACAATAATAACAACAATAATAGCGATACTAATAACCATTAATGCACAAAAAATTAAAAAAATTAATAATAACCATAATGATAATAATAATCATAATAATAATAGCAACACTAATAATAAAATAATACTAATAATAATAATCAAAAACATCAACAATAACACTAATATATTAAAAAAACAGAAGAAAAAAAAAACGGTTTTATGTGACATAAAACAGAAACAAATTTTTTTTTTCGAAACTTACAGAATCTTTCGACGATGCCTCCGGTGTGCGATTGTTGCCGTCATTCCACATCTTAAGCCGGTAAATTCAGCTCCAGAAAAATTTTGTGAAGAAAATTTAAAAAAAAAACCGACTAGTCGGGATTTTGGGACTCGGGAATTTTGAAAAGGAAACTTTGAGTGAAACCGCTCGATAATGTTTTTAATATGATCGTGATTCGTTATGACTAGTCGGTGAACCTTTAAATAGCACAAAATCACCTAAGGGCAAAATGGTCATTTCAGTCAAAATTGGGGGCGATGCCTGGTAAAAAGGGAGCGACGAATAGCAATTAAAAAAAAAGGGTTGAAAATGAAAATGATGATTATTGTTATGGAGTTTCTGAACAGTTTAATTTCATAAAAGAAGGAGGCAAGACTAAATAGGAACATTCTAACCGAAGTAGCTCTCACAACTTGTCTTCTTCTTCTCCCCATGATCCCATGATAAAAGAAGGAAACACCAACATAAAGTGAAATCTAAGGGTAGAGTGAAAGACAGAGAGAAAAGGTAAGAGTTTGTGATAAAAGATGATGTAGGCTATAAAAGAGACAAGGTCAGTAATCTAATTTGGCTGTATAGTTTGGTTGGTTAGATTGTGTCGTTTTGTTGGTTGTATTTTGTTAATTACTTAATGTATGTAGTTTGGTGAACCTAGAAAAGGGGAGGTTGTAAAGGTTAAGTATGCATTTGTTGCAACACAAGCTAAGAAGTGCACTAAGGTAAGGTGTATCTTGTAAGTAAAGCACTGATTTTATATTGATCTAAAGTAAAAAATTAATTGATATTCTTAATTACTTAATGAAACCCTTACATGTGTTTGTTTTGAATTCATTTTGTGTGTGTAGGTTCCAAATGTGATTTGTCGAGTTGATATGTTTTACTCGAGGTTAATCAAATATCTGAATCCAAGCAGGGAAGAGGAGGTAAAGTTGGTGGGTTTTGGAGGATTGTTGCAGCTGTAGTTAAATTATTTGCAAAGGTAGATATATTATTGGATAATGTCAAGGGTCCAAAGTGGGGGTTGATTGAATTTGGTGATGAAAAGGTAATGTGGTTGGCCCCAATACAACTTCAATGTATCTTGGGGTTGCCAATGGAAGATAAACAAATTCCTATGAAGCTAGATAGGGATGCTCCTGTGATGTTGCAGAAGTTGGGTGATATTATTAAGGATTATAGGGCTAGAGGCTATGATGGTGATTCACTGCCATTAGAGAAGATAATAAGGGTTGTTACTTCAAGTGGAGGATGAGGATGGGAATACACTGCCGCTTGTAAATAATATACAGAAGATGCAGTTTAGGACGACTTTTCTTATTATTGTTATTGGTTCCATAATGTGCCCACGATAGAATGGGGCCTCTTGGTAAAGAAGTTGTTAGCAGCTATTACAATTTC